AAAAACTAAAGTCTATTGATAATTATGTCTATAACTAGGTGGGAGTACAATTTATTCTGTACATTGCACATTTGCACTGTCAATTTCATAAAGCCTGGGCTGTACCTCTCCAATGATGAACTGTTAGAAAATCAAAATATTTTTAAAATACTAACGAAAACCAAGAAAACACATCACAATTTTCATCAGTTTCACTTTCGCAGTTCTACCACGTGGTAGTGAGAGTTTTTTTTTTTTTGCCAAAGACTGTCTGTTATCAGTTTGACTTCCTAGTCATTCTTAAATAAAATGTAAAGAAAGGTTCTAGCCATTCTAAAATAAAATTCAAAGGATATTTCTCCCATTTCAAAATAACTCTTTGATAAAATGTGAGGAATAGTTTTCCCACCATAGAATACAATGCAAAGGATAGTTCTAAAATGAAATGTACTGGAATGAGAAAAGGTTTTTTGTGTTTTATTTAAAAAAACAACATCAAAGCACAAAATATGCATAATTGCTTCTTTGGGAACTTCCTAATTCATTGAAGTTTCTAATTCATCAATACATCGTTCATATTGTTTCAAGAATCAATAACCGTCACTGTTACCAGTGGATAAAAACGCAATCCACTAAGTATCCAGGGTAGTATCCAGCTGTCGAGAATGAAATATTATCCAATGGAAAACTGGCCGCTGATTAATGCAAAGGATTTTAGTAGTGCAGAAACTGTCCACTGGTTAATTCTCACCAACGTTTTACTAGCATTTACTTTATTACCTTGAATGTATTTTGTATCTATTCTTATAGGAAAATGGGCAAATATGCCTTAGAGTCATTCATGATCCTCTAATGATGTATTAAATGAAAATTTCTAAAATAGAAGGCTACATTGTTTTTTTTTTCTTCAATATTTCGAACTGATCATGATGATGCTTGTGATGACGATGTTTATAATGTACTGATAATGCTTAAAATCATGATAGTAGCAATAATGATGAGGATGGCGATAATGAACGGAATATAACTATATAATGAGTTAACGATTGTCTCTTGATGATTATGATAATGATGTTCTGTTGCTGATAATGATATAATTGTTGATAACAAATATGAACTGGTGATGGGTATGATGATATACTGATGCTAATGATGGTGCCGATGATGATTTGATCTTCAACAGTTCTGATCAAATACTTCTTCACGGATTCTTTGAAGGAAGGTAACCTGTTAAAGGTAAATAAATCAGCCACAACGAATAACACACAACGCAGAAGGTCTTTGAACCAAAATCGTTTACCTCCTAAATTGCAAATGCACCTTTAGTTGCCAGTTAATCAGGTCTTGTAAAATGAACAGTGACCTGTGGGATGAAATACTTTTCCATGTAATCTGAAGCCAGACCATAAATTTTTACTTTGGAAACATGACGAAGAATGTTGATGATGACGTTTTGTATAAACTTATAATGATAATTATTATGTTCATGATCATGTTATGATGTGCTGAGAATGATGGTAATGATATTGATGTTAACGAGTTTCATAAGATGAATATGATGATAATACTGAACTTGTTATTATTATGACCATGGCGTAAAACACCTTCAAACAAATTGCCTATAGGAACAAGAAAACAGGTTCGTTTAGGATAAAACTGTGCAGACGTAAGTTTGACATCTAATATTTTATTTTAAAAGCCGCTTTTTACATTTGGTTGTTGATACACATAACCTTACCCAACAGAAACAAAAGCGCACAATTGACGTTCGTTTACTTCATCGATGAATAAATGTACATTATTAAATAATATAGCAAACTTCATTGCCTATTAAGTATTTACAATACTGCAGTAAAACAATAAAACAGACATAAACAAACTCAAATTTAAGCGTTTCAGCTTTCTTGTTCTAAACATAAACTTTTGGTATTTTACAAACACATGCGCAGCGATCTGAAATTACGTCTGCTTTACATGTAAAAAAACAAAACATCGTGACACAATGTGGCGGAGAAAGCAGGTACTGAGAATTTTTTCAAATCTATCAACAATTTGTTATGATTTTGATATACAGCAGAATAAAATGCGTTGTTTAATGCAATTAGTCAGTTGATTTCTATAAAAAACGTATTTTTTGGTTTCTATTAGGAAATTGAATTAAAAAAAAGAAAAAAAAAACTCTTTCTTTTGTTTGAACAGGAAATGGACATCGCTCTCCGCACATCCATTGTTATTTATAAGATTAGGATCGATACTGTGTGCACACAACTTGTCTGGCAAGTTTCTGATGTATACACTTGGTTAAATAGCATGTGCATACTTAAAATGTGTTTACATTACTGTTATATATCAATGCGTACTGCTGTTCGAACCCTCCAATAAAGATGTAATCAGAACTGTAGAGAATTTAGTCTAGATTTGAAATCAAACTTCACCAAAACTTGAATTTTAGTTTTTTCAATGGTATTGCATTTAGGATCGAATTTCTGTCAGGCATTCTTCCATAAATTTACTTGATTTAATTGAGAGATATAGAGAAAAATGTTTGTTATAATAGAGATAAAATGATCTATATGGTCATACCTCTATGCTTGACATAATTGATAATTTGTTTGTCACTTGGTGTGGATAAGTAGTGTTTCGTGAATGAGCTTAAACATAAAAATATATGTCATGAAAGATCTGTAAATTGCTAAGCAGCTTAATGTTGTATAATGAATATTTAGATTTTGAGACAAAAACCACTCTTTATTTTAATGATAATCTAATATAACTATTATTATGACCATACTATGATTTCTTTGTTGAATATAAGGGTATGAGTTTATCTTGTATAATGCAAGATAACTTACATTTTTTTCGAAATGTAACTATTTTTTGCTGCTCAAAATATATTATTTTGAAATATTAATATACGTTCCGTTATGTCTATATTTTGTTCTTATAAATTGCTTCTTTGTTTTATTTTTATTTCATTTTATTTCCGCTCTTGATAATGAAAGCAACTTCATGTCAAGTGAAATTATAATTTACTATAATATCTAATTATACCAAATTCAAACTACATTAAAATGTAAAAAGCTTTATATCTGCTACAAAAACCATTGTCTGAAGTTTGAAAAAGAATGCTTCCAAAATGCTTGTATGAACTAACTATGGTATTTAATTGCCTTAAAAGCGAATGACCAATGCACAAATCATTGCTAAACGGATAAAACCCTACAAAAGTAGCATAATAATATTTTGTTCCACAACATTTTATTATGTTTACGTAATTATACATGTTTAAAATAACAGAGACATTATATGGTACAACTTTTTTGAATAATTATTCAATATATGGATCAATATAAAACACATTTTATTTCAGGACTCATGCATTTGCATGTATATAAAACAAAACTGCTCATTAAATGATAAACGGAATTTAAATACACGAATGCAATAAAACCTTATCATGATTATTGACACATACCCTACCTGCTGCGCTTTTAAGGTCGGTTTGCCTTTTTTATTTATGACTTCAGTCTGCCTTGCATATTTTAGCACTATCATTAATGTTTCTAATGTAAACACAAGTTCAAGTTATCATCTGTTAACAACAACTTAATCTGACTTACACGAAGATTACGTGTAAAGAATAGATAAATGAATTTAAACATATTTAATAATAAATAGATATAATTGTAATTAATGTATATATTTTGTTGAAATTATAAATCGATAAAAAAAATATTTACACGACCTTTAAGCTCCACGTAGTTTAAAATGTATGCAAAATGAATTAGCACGATTTTTCGTTCACTTCTTTCAGTCTTCATTAATCACAAACAAAATAAAATGACTGCCTTTAATAGAGACTCATATTTACCACCACAGTTAAATAATTAAATAACATCTTAACATAATTATGCACAAATTAAACATCCTGTCTGAACCTCCTCTAAATGCCGAAACCTCAAAAATATTCCTCATGCAAACTTTAAAATTGTAAGTGTTTAAATTATTATGTAAAATCAAACTAGCTCGAAATTTAAATAGACACTTAACATCGAAACATATTATAGGATAATGTTTTGATTTCAAATAAAGTAAGTGTCTCTATTCCTTATTCAAATGCCTAAAGCAATTTTTATCTATGTATGGCCGTTGCTTTTTTTTTACATTTATCTATTTCCAATTTTTTTTTTGGTTGAAGGTGAACATCAATGGACTATAAACTTGTGTCTATAAAATACGTATAAGATAGTTGAGCGTTATAGCGCAATAAGGTAAACTACGGATTTATTATTTCTCAGTGTCCTATATGTTGTAAGATCGATACCCCATTAGGTCTATGTTTTGTTTTATCTATATTTTTATCATTATTGAACAGCTCTATTCATAGCTCTATGATTAAATTAAAAACAATCTCGATTTGTTTGAATATGTCTTGCACTTATTTTAAAAAAGACAATACTCCTTTTAAATGACATGATTTATGTAGTAATGTTTAAAATTCACTCGGATTAAATTATTAATGTCATTTGTATGCTGTAAATCACAATACAAGTTTCCATAAGTTGATTCATATCCGTGTAGACAATATTGCAAGCACTCGGCCATTTCGATTAAAATGTACTGCAAAAATAAACAAAGAGTTGTTCTAAATATTAAATAGAAACAGAGATCGAACCACACCTCTCATATATTTTAGGCAATTCATTAACCGACTGTGCTAATGTGGATGTGATGATGACCTTTAAATAGAGCTGCTATGACATAAAAAAAACATTAGTTATATACTCGTAACTTTCACAGACGGACCAAAGTGTGGTCGAATATTTAAATGAGTGCTGTAATGTATTCATAACTGACAAGTCAATATAAACATACTATAGAATGAATGCAACATCTAGCTAACTATGTAACCGAATAAGAAGGAAATTTAAAACCAAACTGCTGTTATAATATTACCATAGTACAGTGTCTATTACGCTAGGTTTTTTATTATAACTATACACTTCACGAAATTTATGTAATTACAGTTTGTAAAATCGACCGACCTTGTAGTCGAAATATTGAGACTACATGGTCATAAAAAGTGTATTGAGTGTGAAGTTCTTAACACGACATTATCTTTATTCAAATATTTACATAGCTCTTTTTTAGTGTTGGTGCAATCGTAATACAGCATATTTGGATATATTGTAGAAAGGGTCGTTTTATGACTTAAAACGATTTGATTATTCGTAAACTATCGATACAAAGTGTTAAACAATGTTGAAAAACGCAGGTATGTAAAATATTTTTGTTTTTGTTGTCATTTAAAGGCACACTACTGAGGAATTAAAACGTGACGACAAAGGATTCTGTTTCTAAAAGCTTTATGCGAATTTCGGAATTTCATATCATTGCCCAGAATCATTAATTTTATTGTGCAAAATGGCCCAAAAATGAAAAGCTATGCAATGCGTCTAAATCAATTGGTGCTAATTGCGCTGAAAGGACTTGGGTTTTAAAGGAAAGGATATTAAACGTTTTGATTATCATGACCTAAAAGATTTTCAAAACCTCTTTTCAAACATATACACAATGTCACTGCAAAATACTTGGTTGGATAAGAAATTATCAACTTTAAGCTTTCTGTGTTGCATGTTGCCCGTGCAACCAGAATTTTAGCGTATGTTGTTATACAGTCATATAAAAAAGACGCACGAGTCATATATGATAATAAGGAGGTTTTATGGGAAAAAATGTGTTTTGCTACGTTTAAGGCAGATTAACTGTTTCGGTAAAAAATGTTCTGCATATGTACAGGTCTTTCCTTTAAATTTTATTCTTATTAACATATTAACTTTGACATTTTTAGGTATTTTCATAAACATGCGCATATGTTCTTTATTAATACAAATTAGAAAAGGCACAAACGTCCACACCTTTTGACTAAATTAGAATAACATTAAACATAATATTAGATATTTTTGTTAATCAAACAGGACCAATGACCATTATTTATAACTATTCAATTGCACAACGAATACTGTACTATAGCATGTCCTCAAAATATATATGAATCTTGGGATAAATGAAATAGCTAGCCTTTTCTTTTTACGATACAAATCATGAATACCTTCAAAATAGATAATACAATTTTATGCATGCACACACGTATTCAAGTTTAAACGAAATTTTACTCATGCTAGTTCGGGTTAAAGCTCTCGTCTGAGAGCCCTGGATATTCATCACAGTAAAAAGTCAAGAAACAGACCCTTACATACTATACACATAAAAAAATTATAGAATAAATTATAATTCAGTATTTTATGATTTGGAGACTTGATATTTTGTTATACCAAAGTTTTCAGAATGATCAGAAATAGCACTCAATAAATGATAATGTTAATTATGATAAACTTCAAAATATAATCTTACTTAATGCTATTTTTGAAGCCACAATAGTTATCTAAGTTTTCTTTGTTATTAGGATATGATCAGAATTTGTTATTAGGATATGATCAGAATGGAGATGAATACACAGAAAAGAATGCCTCTTTTGAGTTGGGTGTGCCATCTACCTACCAACCGACACCACCGCAGCAAGGGTCTGAACATCTAACATGCAAGCCCGTTACCGAACTTACAAATACAGCGGTGGTAAATAGTGTTTCTTTCTTAGACATCAATGGTTTTGCAATTATTATCACGATGTTGCTATGATGTATTATGGACAATGCGTATATAAGATGTTGTCGTTTTCGCTGTACATATTCAGCAGTTAGTCGCTTCTTTTGCTAAGATTTAGAAACACACCTTTTTATATTGTCTTAAATATTACCAAGGCCAAAGTATATCAACACCTGAAGAATAGATATTAAGTAATTAAGTTATCATACTTTTTTATCTTCCATCCACATAGAAATGAGAGAGCATTAGCTTTACAGGTTCTTGACAGCATATACGGAGGAATATAGACTAAGTAAGATATATATGTCCCGAGGCCACAGCCCTGGGTTATATAATGTCACAAAGCCTACAGTATACGGTATTTTTTTTCCAGTTCAAGCAACTTGTATTATAATTGTATTATAATGTAAATTGTTACTGACGACAGTTTCATAAAATAAAACGCATGAACAATATAATATATTTGCATCAAAGAGTGAGAAAAAGGCAAGTAAAGAATATGTCGTCAGACGCTAATAACGGGTACGCACACGATGCGCTATAAAGAGTTATTCAGTTACATGTATATAGTCATCATTGTGGTGAAACTTTAATCCATTTTTCGAAGTAATTATATTAGAATCGAGATATATGACTAAACGCAATAATAAAATTATATGCACATATAGTTAACCTCTAACTTATACAATCATTGTTATTGTGGGTAGTTCGGTTGCTCAGTTTGTACGGCACAAATTGTTAAAGCCAATCAAACATCGAGAAATTTGCACTGTTATAATGTGGAACATACTACTAATATTGTCATTTTTTGTATCCTTACTAGTATTTGAAACTACCATTAATTTAATAACAAAATAGGCTTTTGAAATAGATTGTACAAATAAATTAGAGCAAAAGTATTATATTTTCTAACATAGGTAATGAGCAAGCCACAACCAGGGCCTGTGTTGAACATAATTCAGAAACCACTTCCAAGCCATATTGTTCCTGCCTTGTTCGTCTGCTGTATGTTCTGGCCAACAGGCCTAGTCGCAGTATATTTTGCATTCAAAGTAAGTGCATGTTTTAATTTCATAGTATCCTATGTATGTTTGTATGTGTATGCGTACATGTGCATGAGCGTGTGTGTATTTGGTGGTCATTTACCTCCATACAATGTTTACGAAGTTTAAGGCAAAGACATGCAATCTGAACCAAAAGGAGGACACTGTACGGCGGCCAATGAGACCCTAAATGTACGATTAAGGCTATTGGTGCTGAACAAAATACCTCTTTTTTAAGGAATCACTATATGCTTGGTGCACGCACTCATGGCCGTTTATGCATACTCTGTAGGTCAACTCCAATCGTCCTGACTCAGTGCATCGGCAGCTCAATTCAAACAACGTAAGTTGTGCCGCCTTAACCGTAAATCTAAGCTGAAGAGTGTATGCAAACTTGCCATCGGATGGATCTTCAGTCATCTGCCGATACCCTGTACCTTTTCCACAACGTGCACATACCGAGAGGAATGGAGAAGTAACTGCAAGATAATCGCTCCATCATCAGATCTAGCATTGCAATTGCAGGCTATTTATTGCAAGTCCCTATTGATGAAAGGCGGTGTTACTCTTCAATTGTTAGCATGTCTCAGAGATTGTGAATATATTTCAGATCAAAAATAAATTCAGGTCTTATATTTTATTTTTGTTTTTGTAGACACGGCATCTCGAGCTCTCCGGGGACTATGGTGAAGCGAAAAAAATGTCAGACTGTACAAGAAAATTGATTATTGCTACAATAATCATTGGACTGATTTTAGGCATTTTTGGATTTGTTGTTTACTATGCCGGAATGATGAATCGTAACAGAAACATACAAAACTACGTATAGTCATTGTCAACGTCGACTATATACTGTCATGATTCTTTTTTGAGAACGAATTCATTTCTGAAATTATCTGAACTGATAGTAACATTTATTGTAGTTGCGTATTTTTGATCATTTTTAATTTTATATCATTCTTGTTTGTTGTACATATCTTTGTATGTAAGTACAAATCAATATTGGGCTAAAAGTTTTATACTTTATAAAATTACATTCGGATAAAAGTTTTTACTAGTTTTCACTGTTTTATAAGTTTTTTTTACAAATTATATCATGCTTTTATATAATTTTTACTCAGAAAATTACGCAAATATGAACCAATGTTTTTACATGCATTTATATTTTTTGCATTGTGTTTAATTTTCTGAATTTGAAACTGCGTGTTTTACATTATAAGCTATGTACTTCGTATTATTCTCTTCATTGTTGTACAATATAATATGCTACTGTATTGTACATTATAACTTGTGAAACAACCAGATATACATATTACATTGAATTTTGTATGAGGCCGATGGCCTACAATTATATTTAATAAACTTGAAACATAAAACGATGTGTATAAGAAGGCTTTTAGACCTTGTAAAATCAGTTGTAAGCTTAAATGATCCGATGCACAAGTAATAGATTGTTTGGTTTAAACAGTATTTATACCGCTTAATAAATTTTAAACCACTGATTATTTTTTAAATAACTTGGCACAACTGATCACTATAATGATACGACGTGTAGAGTGCAATAATTTGGTTGCTACTACCAAGGTCAACCTCACACTTAAAGGTCTAGCATTTCATGCCCGCTCTATCACTTGTAAACCGCTGAAAATTTTTAAATAACTTGGCACAAATAATCAACATTATAAGACAATGTGCGGAACGCTATAATTGGGTTGCTTCCCCAAAGTCAAGGCAACACTTAAATATCATGTGTTGAAAAGTCGTGTTTACTGCATCACATTTCAACTCCTGCAATGTTTTAAAGATAACTTGGCACAAATGATCTCCATTATAACACTGTGTCCAGCGCACAACAATCAAATCACTACCCTCAAAGCCAGGGTTACATCCGAAGGTCCGATGTGAGAACATCTAATTTTAATGTCCGCTCTATAAACTCAAATGTTTTTTTGAATCAATTGGCACAAACAATCTCCGACATGACACAATCTGATTTTCTTTCCTGCAAATGGTAAACATAAAAATTATAATGTCCAGCAACAAAGCATTTATATAAAAGTTTTTAAAAGACGACAATTCAACATGTGTCATGACGGTAGAAGTATAGATAATTATAGAAAATGGCAAACGTTAAAATAATTTGAAGAGAATACACTATACTTACTGCATAAAGTCATCCAATCGTTATATAGAGATAGGAAAACATTTTGTAGTCGCGTAATTTCGACGGACATTGACCTTCTTGCATTCAAAATTTTAATGCAATTAATATTTTGGCATATTTATGTGTTCATATATGCCGTTCACAAAAAACATCAGTATCATTTTTATCAGTACGTGTCAATATGATCATGACCATAATTGTCAAAAGTATAAGTTAATCATCATCATCATCATATTCATCATCATTATCATCATCATATTAATGATGATCCTCATATTAAGACGACCTGGTAATGATTGTTCTAATAATGTCGATAATGTTTTCAGTGGACGTTCTGAGTCTTATGCACGAAACATACAAACATATGCTAAAATATTGATTGCATTCTTACAGTTGGAGAGAGTAGTTCGTCAAAATTGTGCCACAGCAAAACGTTTTCTTATCCCCGAACACAAACAATAAAAGTGTACAATTGCCTGACTTAAGGTTATGATTGTAATTTTGAAACCAGGCTTAAAAACACTTTGTCTCTATCTTCAGGGGCACTGTTTTGCATCTAAGTTATCTTTTTTCAAAAGAGAAACTAGTAAACAGTTTCGTTAACAAAAGAAAATAAAAATCGGATAGTACTGTACAGACTTAGTTTTGTCTCCTAAAAGTTTTATAGCCACTTTAAAATTTTTTTAATGATCCATGTTACTGAACCTAACATAAATTTAAAAAATGCACACATGTGATCTCGCTTTACTTAACCAGTATATAAATCGTGAAAATAAATAAATCAATCAATCAATCAATCTATCAAATAATCAATCAATCAAGGACATGGTTACGTCATTCAAAGTGACAATATGCTCATACTTTCATAGTCAAGTTGAACTGAATTGACTTTATATTTCAAAAGATTGACCGTCAAAATGGTGTTTGACCAACAGTTGATATTGGAAAATGTTTTGGACAAAATTATAAATCTGCCTAAAATTTAAAAAGACTGCCCCACTCTTTTAATAAACTAAGCGTTATGGATATTTACAGAAATTTCATTTGAATCTGTGTGTTATTTATTGGTGTGTTATTTATTGTTTATGCAACTTACTTATTAAACTGAGAAATTTATAGCAAAATGAAAACTTATTTTGATCTTCACCCGTTCACTCACTATAAACTATGGGCATGTCATTTTAACAATATAACAAACTTATTTGCAGTAAACAATAAAGTAGTTAAAAGTCAGCCCAAAGTTAAATCGTTTAAGTTTCGTGTTTGTTCTAGTATAAACATTTAGTATTTTACAAACACATGCGCAGCGATATTAAATTTCAGCTAATATTTATTAGGCAGGAAAGAACAACAACAACAAAACACATAAAATGGCGGAGAGAGCAAGTATTTTGAATTACATATTTTTTTTCTATTTTCTAAAGCAGTTTAATGTAACTGTTGATCTCTATAAAACAACCAATTGTTTGCTTTATATTATAAAACTGAATAAGAATAATTCATTTTTTTTTTAATTATCTTATCATTAAAATTTCGCAAAATTAATACCATTACCAAAGCGTTTTTAATACTGTTTTATTCTTCATTTTCTTGAGTTTGTTTGAAAAAATATCTTGTAAATTTGAGGGATGTAAAGTGAAAAAAACACACACAAAAAAACAACGTCCAATTGTAGTTATAACCCCGTTCATCATTGTTTAAATGTAATTTGTCATATGGTTTTCTTTCATTACGGCAATAAATAATTGAATAATTCTTGAACAATTATAACAAAAAATGAAATAATGTTATGACAAGGATCAATACAATATACACAAAACGCGAAATTTAAACACATACTATTTTTTTAATGTTCTTTACGTTTCTTTTTGCTTCAATTAAAGGGACTCCACTGAGGTTTTTTGACATGGTGGGACTGAAAATATTTTTTCCAGATAAATGTACCATTTGATGTAGGTTTAGACTACTAATATTTGAGCAAAATTTCAGATCATTCGCGCACTTCGTTTTTCCAGAATATTTTTTTTCCAATTGTGAAAAAATGACAAAAAATAGAAGCGTTTAAACGCTTTTCTCTCAAATTAGGCTAAGAAAAGCATCAAAATACGATTTTCAATTTATTTCAAAGTATATTTCTTAACTATCTTTGCAGATGTGTCTGTTTAAAGTGCTCCAGCTCATTTATGTAAGAAATTCAAATGATATGTTTTTAGGCTTTTGAACCTCAGTGGAGTCCCTTTAATGTAAACAGATATGAAACCAAAACTATTGTATCATTTATTTGACTCCTTTATAGGATAGGGCCTATAATGATTTATGAATAAAGCAAGGGCCGGTTGATCCGGGCGATGCTCCCCGAATAGGTTTTGGACACAGGAAGGTATACCTCTTGTAGTGTCAGGGTTATGTCACAGACAAAGTTCAAAGTGTAAAAACCACCCAAATGTTGTACACGACACATTGTCTCAATATGGTGATCATTTCTGTGAAATAGTTTTAAAATCGGACTTCAAATAAGGAAGTTATGGACTGGACACGATTTTGATGCAAGTAATGTTTTGACCTTGACCTTCAAGGTAGCGACCCAAATGTTAAGCGCGACACGTCGTCTAAATATGGTGATCATTTCTGTAAAATAGTTTTAAAATCCGACTTCAAATAACGAAGTTATGGACCGGACACGATTTTGCTGCAAGGTCATGCTGTGACCTTGACCTTCAAGGTAGCGACCCAAATGTTGCGCGCAACACGTCGTCTAAATATGGTAATCATGTCTGTGAATAAGTTTTAAAATCCGACTTCAAATAACAAAGTTATGGGCCAGACACAATTTTGCTGCAAGGTCATGCTGTGACATTGACATTCAATGTAGCGACCAAAATGTTGCATGTGACACGTCATCTCAATATGGTGATCATCTCTGTGAAATAGTTGTTACATCCGACTTCAAATAACGAGGTTATGGGCCGGACAAGATTTTGCTGCAAGGTCATGCTGTGACCTTGACCTTCAAGGTAGCGACCCAAATGTTGCGCCCGACACATTGTCTCAATACGGTGATCATTTCTGTGAAAAGTTTTAAAATCCGATTTCAAATAACGAAGTTATTGGCCGGACACAATTTTGCTCCAAGGTCATGCTGTGACCTTTACCTTCAAGGTAGTGACCCAAATGATGCGCACGACACGTCGTCTAAATATGGTGACCATTTCAGTGAAATAGTTTTAAAATCCAACTTCAAATAACGAAGTCATTGACCGGACAAGATTTTGCTGCAAGGTCATGCTGTGACCTTGACCAAGGTAGCAACCCAAATGTTGCGCGCGACACGTCATTTCAATATAGTGATCATTTCTGTGAAAAAGTTGTTATATCCGACTTCAAGTAACGAAGTTATGGGCCGGACACAATTTTGCTGCAAGGTCATGCTGTGACCTTGACCTTCAAGGTAGCGACCCAAATGTTGCGCCCGACACATTGTCTCAATACGGTGATCATTTCTGTGAAAAGTTTTAAAATCCGATTTCAAATAACGAAGTTATTGGCCGGACACAATTTTGCTCCAAGGTCATGCTGTGACCTTTACCTTCAAGGTAGTGACCGAAATGATGCGCGCGACACGTCGTCTAAATATGGTGATCATTTCAGTGAAATAGTTTTAAATTCCAACTTCAAATAACGAAGTTATTGACCGGACAAGATTTTCCTGCAAGGTCATGCTGTGACCTTGACCAAGGTAGCAACCCAAATGTTGCGCGCGACACGTCATTTCAATATAGTGATCATTTCTGTGAAAAAGTTGTTATATTCGACTTCAAGTAACGAAGTTATGGGCCGGACACAATTTTGCTGCAAGGTCATGCTGTGACCTTGACCTTCAAGGTAGCGACCTAAATGTTACGTCCGACACATTGACTCAATATGGTGATCATTTCTGTGACATAGTTTTAAAATCCGACTTCAAATATCGAAGTTATTGGCTGGACACAATTTTGCTGCAAGGTCATGCTGTGACTTTACCTTCCCGGTAGTGACCCAAATGTTGCGCGCGACACGTCGTCTTAATATTGTGATCATTTCAGTGAAATAGTTTTAAAAACCGACTTAAAGTAACAAAGTTATTGGCCGGACAAGATTTTTCTGCAAGGTCATGCTGTGACCTTGGCCTTCAAGGTAGCGACCCAAATGTTACGCCCGATACATTGACTCAATATGGTGATCATTTCTGTGACATATGTTTAAAATTCGACTTCAAATATCGAAGTTATTGGCCGGTCACAATTTTGCTGCAAGGTCATGCTGCGACCTTTACCTTCTCGGTAGTGACCCAAATGTTGCGCGTGACACGTCGTCTTAATATTGTGATCATTTCAGTGAAATAGTTTTAAAATCCGACTTGACGTAACAAAGTTATTGGCCGGACAAGATTTTGCTGCAAGGTCATGCTTGAACTTCAAGGTAGCGACCCAAATATTGCGCGCGACACGTCATCTCAATATGGTGATCATTTCTTTGAAATAGTTTCAAAATTTGGACTTCAAATAATGAAGTTATGGACTGGAATGATATATATAAATTCATTACAAGAATTCCTGATAATCGGTATAAACAATTCAAATTTAGAGTAATAAACATGATCTTTACAAGCAAAGAAACGCGCTATAAATGGAAAATGGTCTCATCTCCACTCTGTAATAAAAGTAATAAAATAGAAGATTATTAACATCTTTTTATCGATTGTATGGCAGTAAATGTATTTTGGGAGAAAATTTTATATATATTTCAAGAGTGCGGAATTCAAAGAAATATACGTAGACTAGACATCCTTATTTTCGGTTATAAAATATGTCAAGAAGAATACTTTTACATAAATGTTATACTCACCATTGTAGGTTTTAGTATTTATAAAGCTTACTTTTGTAGTAATAATTGGTCAAATGAATTTAACATTTTAAAACTGTTTAAAACAGAATTTGAAATAATTTATCAATACTTTAAATACAAGAAGACAAAAGTTAATTTTTTTGACAAAATACTACAAATTTTAAAAGATTTATACTAACCTCTAGATAGTTTCAAGCTTTTTTCACTTTGTGTGTTTATGTACGTTGTAACTCTAATACATATGAATATCTCAAATTGTATATATGTATAATTATGTATAATTATGTATAATATTTGTGAATAAAAAAAAAAAAAAAAAAACGTTTTAAGCATCACCAGGCTCTACTTTGCTTGAACTATTTAAATAACAGTGTCATAACAGTCTTGTAAGATCAGTGAACAACCATTTAAACCGCTTAAGAAACTAAAATATTATTCAATAAATAAAAAAATACCTGCTCTATCCGCCATTTTGTTACACAATTCTTGTTTAATCAATTGAAATTGTTCACATCAAATATTTGCAAATATCAAATTCTATTTTTGGAAGAAAGAAGATTACTGCAAGGTTCGCTGCATTTAATATGAATATCGCATAAACATGAATTTTAAAGCGAGTTGCTCAGACCAGTTTCTTAAACTCCCTACAGTTACTTAATAATAGCATAGTTTAAACCTTTTACTCGCTACATTTTTGCAATCAATTTGCCCTACTATGATTTTTGAAAAGTTCATTTTAATATTGAGTTATTTCAAACTTAAAATTTAAAAAAATATATACTTTTATAAAAAAAAAAGTACTGCAGCATCATGCAAATTGCAATTGAATACTAGCCAGTAGTTGCTTCAAGGTTGTCAAAACAATATGTTGGAATGGACAAACACATTGACAAACGGATTTTCCTACCATTGTGTATTTACGTACACATTGCTGTGCTCCTCATTATTACTTTTACCATTAACCACGTTAAAGATTTCAACATTAGAATCATATCTAACGAAATGAAAACATGAGAATCAATGTTTGGGTGTAGATTGACTAACGCATTTACTGACAGATAGATAACCTCCCACTGAGATAGTAATAGACACCATCTTAAATCATCATTAATCATAATAACGCCGCTAGATATTTTCTAAGATAACCAGAAGTGAAAACAATAATGAAACACAATGAAAGGGCTACCAATGCAGAAAACAAAATAAAAAATAAGTTAACACTCACACTGTGTGCCTATAGAACGTGACATGCTCTGATCCGCATGAGACAGGGAACTAATTCCAACAACAAACCAGATAGTATTTTCCTCTATATTTTATTATCCTAAATGGGATCAAGTGCAAACCCTGTTAAATTCTTATCAGTAACCCATTCATGCAATTTTGTTATTGTAAGGTTAAGCTGCTAGTTAGAACACGCAGAAGTCATACAGTTTCACTTTATGTAAGCACCGAAATAAAGAACAAGAGAGCCATGATTGCCCTGAAATATAGAGAGTATCCATGACAAAGAACAAGAATTATTGTAAACTTTATACAAAAGCAGATATAAATCATAAACTGATATCACAAAATTCATATTTAATCTGAAAGAGTCCATGAGTACATTACTGGTTGCTATTGCTAAAAGAAAACCACAGTTTCAAACGATGTGTACATATAAGGAAAATCAATGGCCACCAAGACGGGGCTATTTTTAAACACAGAGCTTTTATTTTAAACAAACTCGATAGACACTCACTAGAGGATGCTGTTACCTAAATATCAAGGCTCTAGCTCTTTGTTTTTTAAGAAGATAAGCTTTTACTATACATATATAAAGAAAATTAATGACCTCACGGCTTTTATTTTAACAAACTTTGTAGAAACTCACATAATAATGTTTAAAACAAATAATGTTCCATGCTAAACATCTAAGCTCTAGTTCTTTGGGTGTTTTTATCCGAATATTTTTTATGTTTTTAATATATACAATGAAACTCAATGACCTCACCGGGTGGGTCAAATTTAGACCTCAAGTCTTGGTAGACACTCACTAGAAGATGTTCCATTCCAAATACCTAGGCTCTATCTATTTGGGTTTTTTAGAACATTTTTTAAAGTTTTTCTTCCGGTTGCCATGGCAACCAGAGTTCTGCATAGAATTAAATTCTTTGAACAATTTCAAAGGTGACCATCAATTGATTTCTGTTTGGATGAAATTGACTTAGATTTTATGAGAAGATGTCATTTACAGTAAAGGTTTACGGACGGACGACGAACGTACGGACGCTGGACGAAGAGCAATCACAAAAACTCACGCTGTCACTTCGTGACAGGTCAGCTAAAATCTGAATACCAAAAGAACGCCCAAAACGGTATAATTGTGGTCAAGCAATCAAACAACACAGTTTGAAACACTACCGTTGCTGTATTTGTGTTTTGATTGCTTAATGCGATACGGGATATTTCTTTGTTGTGTTAAACAATTGCTAGCCAGTACAGGAACCCATCAACCCAAAGTCATCCATCGAAAGTGTGTAGCTGCCTGTTGGTTTTATATTGCACAGAAATACCCATGTCTATAATCTTGTTGATGTCGAACGTTTCGCCGAAGCACTGAAGTTGTAGTCTGGCTTTCAAGCAAACACAAGTTTCCTTTATACTGTGAACTACGATTAAATACGCATCTTGTAATACGGAAGTGTTACGGGGATTGATTTTTCTTGCATCATTTAAAGTAACACAATAAACGAAAGTAATAATATCAAAATCAAGCTTTTATAATTGAGCGTAAATTACGTAAATTGCACCGGATCAACTCTAGCTAAAAAAAAATTCCAGAAATAGCTGACTTGATTGAATATACGGCATGAAATAAAAAACTATCAAATGTGCATAAACTCATAAATACATTCGACAATTTAATAATTTACACATGCAATGTGATTTAGATTAGATTGGATAGCACGTTATATCTAGTCAACACATTGTCAATTTTGTTCGACAATTTATGCAGAAAGTACATGTCTTGAAAAGTCTGAGAATGCTACAAGTAATGGCATACCAATAGAATACTAATACAATGCGAAAGTTAGCCTTCCAAATGTCCGCTAGATAAGCATACACCACACAGCCAAAATTTCCTCTGATTAGTTCAGTAGAAACACGTGAAGAGTTGATGCGCAGAAGTCTTATAAAAAGAAGGCTTGTATGAACTGTTTGCAAATGCGTTTATTGGCATAAATGCTATTAGATTTCCGGCAGATTGCCTTTGTGACGACTGCCTATCGAAAATAAAAATTCCAATGGTCTCCAGATTAATCGCCATTTCAATAATAAAATAATTATTTAGTCCTTTGCTGTTATAAAATCAACAATGTACAATATTTTATTTTACTTTGCTTTTAAGAAGTTATTAATACTCAAAGTTAACGTGAACAATTAACTTTCAACAAATCAGAAAAATTGTAAAAAAGCAGAATATGTTTCAGCTAATATGACAAATTGTTTCGTTTTTAGAAAAAAGTTTGGCAAAGTAAATGATTGTCAAATCTGATTCAATCTGATCTGATGAAACAAGGAAGCAATTTAACATTAAATTTTCTGATCAATCCAGTTTTCCTTTTCGATGATCTTTAAAAAATGCATTTAAAATTTGATTTTTAAGTCAGTGCGTTACAATTGAGGTTCTAGGATAATATGTTTTCATTCATGTATCATGTATACGTAAATGTATTGTTTAATGTATATAGTTCAAATACAGTGTAAACCGCAAGACAACCACAAGGATCGTCCAAATCATTCCAACAATCACACTAGTTATTATCAGCTTCTTGGCGTTGTCAGACATCTTTCTTGCCCCAGGATAGTTACCCGCATTCGCCAAACGGTTTGCCTAAACAAAATAACATTTCGGAAAAATAATACTGAACAATGTTTAATCAAGTTTGCATTAAATTGTTTTGACGAGATAACGCTATGTACTTTGCTAATTTGATTGTCTCTCTAGTACCGCAAGGTTTCACCCGAAGGCGCTCGCATACCTCATACACAAATGAACGTAAAATAAAATCCCTAAGAAAATCTCTCTTGACCTGGAATCACTAGTAAACCAACTGCCGTACCAACTTGCACTTACCCTTAATGGCTAATAATTAAAAGCATGTTAGACCTAATGTTATTATTATTGAGCTAACATGGAAAGCCTTTGTAGATCTTACATCATACTTGTTTAGCTGACCTGTCAGGCAGTAAGCATTTTGCAACACTAGTTATAGTAAACTTACTTCGTCTGCATAGTAGATTGCGCATATTCCAGTAGGACAGAAACAACACAAGCACGTCAAAATTGATACCGCCATGTAATCTGGGGGTGTCTGCTGGACAATGACGGTGGCTGCTTTTGGTTGATTAACAACCTAGAAAAAAATACGCATATTCCTATTTATAACACTCATTTATTTATCCATTTTAACTAAATAATTATTGAACATTTTTATACCCTTGAACCACAATCTGACTAAAATTCAAATGAACTTATTTTTTACATGTCGATCTGTTTTACACCGTACAGCTTTTGCTTTTATTATGATTCGGATTTTCCGAAAAGCTATTTTGAGTCATGCAATCAAACCGGTGTCTTCAGACAAGTATCAAAATATCGTTGTCCGTAAAGTTAAAAAAAATGTTGATTTTTGTTCGAAAAAGAAAATTAAAACAAGTTAACTTGAAATGATAGACTCACATTTAATAGGCAAGGTTGTTTTGCCTGTTTACATGCAGAGTATATCGAAAACCCTGTATTCGTTCCCTCGAAATCTTGAAAATTACTTACTCAGTATTGGTTTACAATCGGTTTAAATTAGAAATCACATCGCTATTAAAATTGTGAAAGCTCGCAGATGATTTGCTGTTTCAATAATCACGAGAATGTTACAAACTTTTGGTGATCGTCAGACCCATATGTGTGACCTTATTTAGGAGCAAATTTTAGTCAGATAGATTTGAACCATTAAGTAAATTGTATCAGCAAGCATGTATTTCCTGAAATTATGACATCAAAACTTTGGAAAATACATGCTTCATATTATGTTTAAGTATATACCGGGGACATATCTCTCACTTATGCCTATGTAATGCAGGCTATGTAGAATGAAAATTTGATTTTAGATATGCTTGTGATATGCCCCTTTAAAATAAAAATGCCGTTGCCCCTTAACCCTAAGTACTTCTTTTAAATAACTTGTTACGCTTCATTTTTTGTGTTTAAAGAAATATGTTAATATTAAGATAAGCGTTTCTTCGCCTGATTATAAATATTTAGTCACCGTTTAATATTACTGCCCGCCCACTGACAATTGACCTATAATAATAATGCCGCAATTCGAATATTTAAGGTTACGCCTTACCTATATTACTGTAAATCAGTATTATTTTTACGAAATAAATACATAAAATTAATGCTTTAGTACAAATATACGGAGCCCCTAAGGTAACATTTTCCACACTTTTTTCCCCGGAACTTAATTCATTTTTACGAAATAATAATTCGTAATATGTCATTTCATATATAGATGTTTCTACATGCAAAAATGTTTATTTTTTCATAGAGTTTGAATTTTTTTATCATTCTCCTTGGAAAATGCATTTTTTTTTTATTCTTGTTCGTGGCATTTTGTGTCACTTTGCCTGCAACATTATTATTGTTGTTAATTCTATTTTCCAAATGTAATTTAAAATTGTTTAATCAACAATTGAGGAAGATGTCGATAAACATGTCATATTAATGAACTACAAATGACCCGAAACAAGTTATATGATAACACTGATAACACAATTCATACTGTACTGTTCACAATGTTTTATGTACTTTGAAAAAAATGAGCTTTAGCATGTCTTTCTGACTAATGTATGTTTAATCTGTTAATAGTGAAATGTTGCATTTGCAAGCGTTGCTATGGCTACACATATGTTAGAAAAACTTGAGACAACTTTAATAACGTATGATACAACCACTGTGGTATTTGTGTCGTGTCCATAGTCTAGTTGCGTCCGGGAAGGGTGCTGGTCATTGTCTTGTGGCGATGGAGGGATTGCTGGCTGGGAATGGGTAGTATCCATCCCAAAGTTCTCATGACTATCTGTGTAGTCATCTTCGGGTTGGTGGTCGTCTCCTACAAGGAAAAGCACATCTCAAATAAAAACACAATTTGAAATAGCATATAAGAACAATCCAAACCACTGTATATATCAGTCAATACTTGGATATACTGTCAAGCACGCATCAGTACGTAGGCCTGCATTATGCTTTTTCTTTCAAATACCAGTTCTTAATCTTGAAATCACAAAAGATAATAAACTTGAAAAAGAAGCCGACATCTACTATTGATTTGTACGTTTTTATTATTAACTGTTAAATGGCTATTTTTCTCACTAACATTTACCTAAAAATAAAGCACGAAATAAACAAATGGAGGAAAACTACATATGTGCGGACATGACCTTTCCACCAAGGAGTACGTGAAAAAAGTATCAAAATTATATGGGGAAAAATAATACAGGCTAGCATTTGCACCCTTACGTTTACTCTCTTAAAAAGAACTGTCAAATGCTATCCCACTTGCTTCCCCGATATAACTAAAATGAAATTATAAATTAAATTCCTTTAAGTATTTGTTTGACATATGTGACACTGTAAAAGGGTGTGTCCTTTTTCTCAAAAGATATTAAATCGCATATGACATACACCATTACTTGCCTTACTTCAGCAGTTTAAAACATGTAAAAACAAACTTCTGTTGGGCGGAAATTCATTTGACTCATTTCCAACCAAGTGTGTAAAATATTACCGAGCGGTCATATTTTGAAGCAATGGAGACTGGTTGAATCTTGTTCGCGTTTTACTTACTAGTACTTCTGAAGCTATATTAAACTTACAATTTAGTGAACAACGCATTTTAAGTTATAAGGCGTAATGTTTCATACAGCGTTTTCAATAATAACATTTTATTATAATATTGAAAACGAGGCAACAAACTTCTGTTGCTTTCAAACCTGGCCGCTGGCGCTTCGTCACCTCGTTTGTTATATAATATATAAAAAACAATGTATAGAATAGTTTTTTCAAACGATGTTCGTCTAGGATCGGGTTGATCTTCTTGTAAAATTTACAGGAATAATCTAAATATGAAAAAAAATCATCATTCATTTTAAAATTTTCAAACTGAAATCCGGGAATATTATTGGTCATTTTAAAATAAGTATAATAATCTAAAGGATCTGTCTGAAGTTGTATCGGAAATAATATGTTTTTGTAATAATGCTGAAATCATTAATTCATTAATTCTTGTGAATATCTTATTCAACATAAGAATTTACCAATCTACAAATTACATTTAAAATTGGCCAGACGATTCATAACGTAGACGATCCCGGAGAAAATATGTGCATACTGAAAGAAACCATGCAACTAAAAGCACTTTTACCTCGTCCGAGAATGGTATTAAAATAGTTCTTGTTTTACGTTAAACCAAATGCCTAGCATGATAATAATCAAATAATTGTATCGTGTATAATTCATTTATTAACAAACGATTGTGAGTGCTTGATTTATGTTAACCTACCGTAATGTACATAACAGTTTGATAACAAATTTATATCAACTTTAAAAACACATTCAAACAATAAAAAAACATAGTAAAATTCACAGTACCTGCCCTCTCCGCCATTTTGCTTCACAATGTGTTTTTTAGTTAAACAGATGACATAGTTCAAAACGCCGCGCATGTATTTTTTAAACACAACTATGATAACCGCCGTATGTACACATCTGCAGATGTTTCTAAATTCAAAATTTCTTGCACTTTCCAGTACCGTCCATGAACAGGCTCAATCAAACTGAGCCTGCAACATTTTCAATTTTGCCGTGTTGGGCTTTCTTTAGGGATTCTGTATTTATCTATTTTGTTAATACAAGAAAGATTTATATTTGTGTCTTTGTTCTATTGTCTCGAGTCTGATTAATCCCTGGATTGTTTTCGATCGTATTACAATTTTTTTTATTTTAACTATTGTATCAAGAATATTAACATACATGTATATCCATTATTATATGCAGCACAAGTGATGATTTAATTGATAATTAATTAAATGCGTTTGTTTTCTTGTGTAAATGAGTTTAACAAATATGTTATAATTAATTAATTTTGATAAACTCATGCAGTAAGTGATATGCACGGGAAAAAACACAAACAAACACAATAAAACAATATTAAACTTTAAAGTGACATTATTTTTGTCACTGTCAAGTTGAGATGAATTTGTGAGATGTTTCATTTTCTAATAATAGTGATATTGAGTGATTTTATACTTTTCCTGGCACAGGATGTATTATGTGTGCCGCTCATTTTTTTCAGATCTGGTTCATAAGGCCTCACCTACGTTTCATCGATAGCAATGATTTTTGATAAGAAGGTTTTCCTTTTCGACACAAACCCTGAAAGAAGAGTGGATGCCACTTCCAGATGCCGTTCATGCGTCAAGCGGTAAAACATCCACCTGGCGAAAATCTTTCTTGTTTTCAAACAAATGCCAAAGATAGTATAAACAGGCCCTACATTCATTTCAAACTCGTGAACCATTTCTACACACGTAATTCTTTGATCAGATTCCAAACACCTGTTTAACTGTTCGGTGTCATAAATGTAGATAGCCATCACAATTCTACCTGCTCGGTGCGCAGTCACTGTTATTCTTAAACTCATTCACAGTACGCTAGTGCCGTGACCTTTTTGTAAAGATGAATTACTTCATTTGTTGTTTTATTACGATGGCATTCACTTTTTATATAGCTTCGCCGATCCTGATACGTTAACGGGGACTTAATGGCTAAAAGTGACGTCATATAACGCCTTGTTATGATGGCTTCATTTATAATGATATCGAGTGATTTCACTATTTGAAATTGTATCTACAGGGCCATTTTGAATGTGGTCGATTGTTTTCATCAAAAATTATAAGACGAGTTGAATTACATATTGAATTAATCTTGTACAATAAAGTCTCGCTTTACTACCGACCCAAAATTGCGGCAATTTGATATTACGACCGCTTTTTTGCGGTCCCGATTTTTTGCCTATATAATTCAATGGTCGTAAGGCCCGACATTACGACCGACCCGCTACTACGTATTACGACCGCTTTTAACGGTCCAAATTCTCACTTAACAATGCAAATGGGGTCCAATAAAATGCATTCATGAAAAAAGTAAACAACTCATTCAACTGGTCCTAGTTTGTCATCGGTACATTTGTTCGGCAAATATTTGTTTCCAAACGAATCGTGAAGCATTATCCCACCAAAATTACGATTCTTCTACTGTTTTTTGGACAGGTCTATACTTTTTGAGAATAATTTGATTAACCGATTACTTCACATAGACAAGTTTAGACGGCTTTTCATAGGCTTCAAATAATGCTGAAAAAATGCACTATTTGGACCCAAAAAAACTTGTTTTCGTTTCAGAAATGGTGTTAAAAAGTGATTACAAAAAGATACACCATGGGTGGGGGGGTGCCATATAGGGATGTGCTCCCTTCTGTTTTGGGGTTTGAAGAAAACTTTCTTTGAGAGGCTAAAAATGGTCCCATGCTGATCTTAAGGTAACATGTAACCAACGTTGAAAAACCCTTTGACTCTGTCTGAATCCATTGAAAGTTGCAGCACCTTGAAATCAGTTTTTTATTGAAAAAAAAACGCCAAATAGTAAAAAATTTGCAATTTTGAGATGTCCCCTCGTTGCTATGTCAACATTTGCACCTACTTTGAACAGTATTGAAACCTTTTTCATAGGTTCATGGCAGTTTCAACGTGTAACAGGAGGCTTTTTAATGAAAACAGTCATTTTCACATAGTGCTCGTGAAATAATGGGTTAAACAACATAATATCCGTTCCGGGGTATTTTCTTTTCATTTGCAAAGGTATGGTCCTGTCAGACAGGCCCAGTCATGTAAAACGTTTGACATGATAGTCCTGCAAATCATTAAAAGTAATAAAATATTTAAAATGAAAAATAAATGTACATGATTTTCATAATCATCCTGTAATCGGGAGAGAAATAGTTAACAAGATAATTTTAATTGAAGATACTTTTAAGTACAAAATACGAGGGTAATCCAGTACATTCGTGGACTTTAGGTGTTGCTTAAACATAATTGAGATATTGGTATGAAATTCTTACACTGCCTAGTAAGTAAGAATAAATAACAAATATACACATAAGATGCATGTTAGTAGCTTTTTATATTACAACAATTATTAATTTTACATACAAACATGTCGATGAAAGCGGCGCATTGAAAAAAATATTGACCTCTACGTCAGTATAACTTACAACTTGAAGGTTACGCAGTCAATGACCTTCACTGCCTCTCACAGTAATGTTCATCACTAAATGTACCGCTTTAACACTTAAATGATCGTGAAATTTTATTTTCTCTGCTCGCCTGCTGATATTTTTTCAAATGTAAACAAATTAAAAAGAAAGTGAAATGAATGCTTAGACCATGTAGACATTAAGATTTAAATAATTATCTAAATTTACTTGAATGAAAGAGGGAAGGAATTTGTAAACCAAATATTAATCTAATTTTTAAAGGCACGACTAATTGACAATGTATGTGCGCGAGATACATATATTAAAAATGCAACAGTTATTATAATACACCAGGACATTTAATTACAGGTGCACTGGAAAAGTAACCTTAATTACCTCGTATTACTTTGGACCAGAAATGAACATTTTAATTAACAAAATGGAATATATCAAAGAATAAATCCACATAGTAATTTCAATAATCACACTGGCTATAATCAGCCTACTGGCAGTGTTTGAACTTCTCTTTTCCCTGACATTGTCACCAGCATCCGCATAATTATTTGCCTGAAAAATATAATAAAGTTAAAATGTTACTGATAATGTTTCATAAAGATGGCACTGCATTTATTATTCGCTATTTTGCAAAATCTCACCAAAACATTTAACATGAAATGGTAACATTTTAAATTTAAAAAAAAATCCGCAAATATATTTATATGGCAGTAATTAATGAACGCTCAATGAGACACATAAGTGGCATTCTATGAAAACGGCATGTGGTCTTAAAGATAAAAAATGCTTGATCCTTAAACGAGAAAACAATTGGTTTAACTACATTTTGAGCTGGTCAGAGGTTAGGAAGCATGTAAATCACAGATAGGACGTCAAAAGACAAAGTAAAAAGCATGTAAGGAAACCACGAACTATTAGACAAAATACCACAAAGGAAAAATTTCAGTTATCACAAACACAACAATATGTTCTCAATTAACGATTTGCACAAATCGAAAATTTAGTACCACTTTTAAACCTAATGCGATAAATAGATTCTGACGCAAAATAATGAAACCTTTTTTTATTTACTTTATGCCTGTAAAAGATTAAACAGTGCCAAAGTACAACAGCAATTGTCCTTTTGCTCAGTGCTGCAGTATAACAGGTTTTCGTCTCATGCCAAAAAAAAAATGTTTGCAAAAGGAAATTTTTCATCATTTTGCTTTCAGATATTTATATGAATGAATGGGGCGCTAATGCGCATGGAGAATATGATTTCTGAAAAGGAATTTAACGAAACTCAATACTGTGGAGTAGGTTAAGGGTGGTGGTCCTCAATGCTGAAATGAATTCATGACGTGACTGTAGTTATCTAGCTGTATAACAAGATGCCATGGTATAATGTAAATTATTTAAAAGATATGGAAAGTAACAAGAAAACCTTAAAGCTTTGCACTCAAACTGCACGGGTAAACTAGTCTTGGGAGGTAAATGACCCCGATTAATTTTGGAGTTTCAGATTAAAATTCAACTTCACATTGACCTTCCATGTCAAACGGTTTCCGACCCTGACAACCCAAGGGCCCTTGGCCTTCAATCTCACAGTTACATTAGTCTTGAAGTCTTGTAAATGACTTATAGAATCGCAGGGTCACAGTTTCTGAACAGTTACTTGACAACCAATGAACTTTGACAACCATTATAATGTGTAAATTACCAATCTAAATCTTCATAGAAGCATTAAACTTGGGCAGTTGATAACCTATTTTGATTTATGGATCAAGCGTTTAAAGATAAAGGTCACAATAACATTGTGCGCCAAAACGGCTTCTGACCAACTAGAAACCATCAAACCTTTGGTCATCAAACTGCATATGATCATCGGTCTTCGAGCACTTTAATTAATTTTTTCATAATAGTGGCTTAAAGATTAAAGTATATACTGTATGTCAAAACCGTTTGTATATTGATGTTGATGGTTCGGTTGATATGTCCTTGTTTAAGTTAACCACCGTAGTTATACCTACTTTCAACAAGAAGAAGGATTTTGGTTTGCAGCATGAAGTTGGTAGGTTTGTTCGTCCAGAATTTTTTTTCGAACCAAGAACTTTAGAAAACATTGGCTTAACGCCCTTAAACTGCAAAAGTGCATTTGATTAACAAGTTAATGACTGGTATTGACTTGGGGGTCTATGGATCGATGGTAAATGTTGCATTGATCTTGTATTGTAAAAAAGGTTTCCGATAAAATAAACACGCGGCCCTAAAACTTCTGGTTTGGTCAGTATATGATTTTTTTGATTTTAGAGGTGAGTTTGTCTGTCAACATGGTTTTCTACAAATAATTCGACAACCCATTACCATTTGGTCTTGGAACTTTATTTAATCATTTGTCTCGGTCAGTAGATGACCCTTTTGACATGGTCGAAAAATAAAGAGTGTAGAATTGCACCTTTCAATGATCGAGAGCTGAGATTTGCACAACATATACTAATAAATGGTAAAGAAATGAAATAAAACATTACAGTGTTAACAATCACGATTCTGCATTTATTTCTTTAAATCATTCTGCTATTTACATTATACAAACATTTTGCTAGTTATGAAATTGCAATGTAAGGACCATCATATTGATAATTCTTTAGTGTTAATATTGATATTATATTTGTTACTCATTTTCTCATTCATGCATACAGAATTTTCAAGCTACCAAATGGACATTTTCTTTTACAACTGGTTACAGTTACTAAGCTGACCTGTCAGGCACTATGCCTAAGCAAACTAGTAAGAAACGTCCCAATTAAATATACCTCGTATGCATAGAGGACAGCAAGTATCCCAGTCGGTTTGAAGCTAAGGAATATGCAAACTATAATAGATGCCATAATATAATCAGGGGGCCTAGCCTTTTTGATTTCAGGCTGATTAAGTGGTGAAGAATCCATCCCAAAAGTAGAATGCCTGTTAGTAACTGTCCCTGGTTTTGTTTTTTCCTGCAAAGATAAATAAACGAATCAAATAACGAATACAAGAAATGTCTGTGCTAGATGGCATCCCCATTTGCTGATAAATAAGCAGACTAAAGCTACCGTTCAATCCGTTAAATTGCTGCTTAAATGTATCCAATTAATTATAAAACCGTCTTTTGCAAATTTCGAACACTGAAACATGATTTTGGCTACAAAATTTGTCAAAAGTCCAAGTAAAGATAGTTAAAAGAACCATCAGTATAAAGAAAGTTTTAAATCCATTTTATTCAACTGAGGGTCCTAAGTTTATGTTCTTAAAGGCAAATCTGATAATTGGAATATTAACACAATATAAGGTCTTCAAAAATAGACAAAAGCCTTCCGCACACTTTGATGAATGCATTTCTATGGTTAACATCAGAACTTGTTGATCTTTATTTCGTCATTGCGTTTGATTATGTTCTCTTATTATGTTTGATCATCATGTAACTTTCCATTGACATTTTCTTCGCTACATTTAACCACTTTCATAAACATATTTGTATGGTTTACGCCACAAATTGTACTCCTTTATTTGAATTACCAAGGCGTTTGTTTATGTACTTTACAGACATAAAAAAACATCCCATACATTTAATAAATATCATACGACATAATTTATGTAAATTATCAAATATGAATAACAAGATTAACAAGGAAGTGCGGTATTCAATGAATGCATCCCCGCAACATAACCCAGCACAAGAGCGTTAACTTTGTTTATGTACTTTATATGCATAAACAGCGATTCAATACATTATCGAAGCGGTACACAACTTCAACAACTGAGATTCATTCCCTACTAGGCAGTAAAAATTACGCTGGCGCAACTATTCACGGGAAAATGATCTTAAATTAAAACGAAAAAAATACAAGACATTTAGTACGGCTGATATAGGAGGTATAAAAGCCAGTTAAGAATCTCACAAAATTAAATCAGTTTGTGTATTATTCTATAAACTGCTTAATTTGGCACATGATAATGTTTATTTACATTATTGAATCCATTATCAGCAAACACGAGTAATATCTACATAAAACTGGTCAACTTATAAAATTAACATTCACAAGCAATTGTTTCTCATATATTTAGCCAATCAGTGCTTTGGGTGTTTAACACAAATGTATGTTTTTTCCAAACATGATAAAAAGTAAGTGTTAATATCGAATTAAAATTAAAAATCCTACCTGGTAGTGTAGCGATTCTTAATCACATAAATAATTTCTTTTCAAAAGTTTAATCTAGCCTTCGCTCACAACAACTATTTAATAAGTATATAGAAATTTAAATACATCTAAAAACAGGATAATTGTGAAGCATGACATTAAGGCGAAACATATATTTTTGTTGTGTTAAAATACACCTTATTATACAAATGATGATATTCATATCTATACTCGTATATTTCTTGTCCTATTTTACTAGTTTTCTTTGTGTAAATCGAAAAGCGAAATCTAGCCTCGGTTAAAGATAATTTCTTAACTGAAATCGATTAAAGACTACATGTACATTATTTCCTACATTTTGAAAGTAACTCTTTTGAATATATCTGGTCGACTTTATTTTGTTGAGTACCGCTCAAACCGGTGCTAGAGGGGCGTGATGGATGTTGCACTTGTTCATTATCCCTCATGTACAGACTCAATCAAACTGTTATTCTGCAATTCTCTTGTATTATTGTTGTGATTAATACCTCCGAGTGATTACTTTGTTTCCAGATCCTTGAGTTGAGATATGCACACTGCACTGTGATTGCTAGTCAGTGTTGCAACCTAGCTGTTTTGTTTTATTTGTTTGTTTGTTTGTTTCATTTTACGCATTTTTCCAACAGTATTTCAGTTAAATGGGCGGGTAGTTTCCTAACCATCGTTCCTGGAGAGTTACACCAGTACTAGACTACCGTCCTCTGCGCTAAACTACCAAAGCATCTCCCGGTGATCGAACCCACGCCAGAGAGGTGACTGGATTAGAAATCATCGACTCTAACCCCTCGACCAAGGAGGCGGTCTAGCTATATTGAATTCGTATTATATATGGGTATATTTTGACATTTATAAATAAAGATATGTGCCGTAGTATACGTAAGTTGTGGTTGTTTATCTGCAGCTATTTTTCACGTTGTTAAGGTTAATGCTTTACCTAAACTAAGCTAGAGGTAAATTCCTAAGACTGTCACATTTATTTACAATTTTCAAATTTTGGTCATGTCTATCAAAAAAATATTTTTCATTGCCTTCTGTGGATTTCTTTGTTAATGTTTTCTTTTATAATATCAAGACGAATATTTAACGTCGAATGTCTACTTCCTGAATCTATATGGATCGAATTTAAAAAATATATATCAATCTTGATCATTATGCATAATATAGCGGCCACCCAAAGATAAGGTTACTTTTACGATAGTTTACATCATTGTTTAGATATTGCGTCTAAACAAAATTGCCAAAACTTTTTTTCTGTTTAATTTTGTTTTATTTATTTATTTTTTATTTTTTTCAAATTCCTGACTGAAACTATTTTGGCTCTTTTTAATGATATAGTTTTCATCAAAAATGGTATGCTTTTATTAAAGAAACGGACAACTATTTCAGCGGCAATCCATTAGAAGGTCATTACATTGTGAAGACCATTGAACCGGAACATTCAGCCAGACTCCACATCATTTTCTGATAGCGTGATGCCCAGTGGGTAATTTGGATGAAAATTGCAACGTGCCTAAAAAAGAAGAAGAAAAAAAAAACATTTAAAAGGCATGTCAAAAGCGGTGAACAAAAATATGCTGCTTATATGTACGACCTCGTTTGATACTACAACGTCCTGTGAAGTTTAACTGATTTTCAGCCAGCAGTTACATATTGCAAAGTAGCATCGTGAAAATGTGTGGACGGACAGATACACTAACAAACGGACTTGTGTGGATATATCGTTGTTCTTCACAATGTCTGAATAAATCACGTTTATGATTTATTCTGCATAAAAATCTAACTAAATAAAACGCATCAAATAAATATTTACTGTTACATACTATTCCTACAGCCACAGGCGTATCTGGCATTTTGCATCAATTTTAACATGACCACAACTAAAATTCTAAATTTTATTTGAGCAATGGTACATATCTGTAGTCAACCTGCCACAAATGGGACAATCTCTGCACCAAGAATGGCAAAATGTTCTTCAAAATCGCTTTAAACACCTTACTGGTAGTATGAGGAGAAGGGTTGAGGCTATCATCCGGGCACGTGGCGGTTACAAATGTTATTAAAAATTTGGCTACATAATGACAATATGGGTTACGTAATCGTCAACATTTACCAAAGATATACACCAGTTAATGTTTTGCAAACGCTCCAACACCATACTAAAAACACATATTACATTTTTGTTTTGTAAAAATCACATTTGCTTATGTTCAAAAATTTGGTTAAGAATAAACTAAACTCAAAAATGTTCAGTGTTGTTATATTTTCTGGTCCTTCGGGATCATTGATGCCAGCACTATTAAGTGTTGAGAATTGAGTACAGCTCAAGCCGGTGCTAAGGGGCGTGAGGGATGTTGCACATATTCATTATCCCTCATGTACAGACTTAATCAAACCGAGTCTGCAATTCTCTTGTAATTTTGTTGTGATTAATGCTTCCAAGGAAACACTATTTGTTGATTACTAAATTGGTATCGCTCCTTATCAAATTACTATTTCTTAGCACAATTAAGTAGTCATCATATAACAGTGCTTTAATTCACTACCAATTCTGAGTTTCCAGGTGTATGTTTTTCTATTTTATCAAGTTACATGGGATCAAATGTTTAGCCCATTATTTCTAATTAGTAACCAATACGAAAAATGTTTGGTTAGCTTAAACCACCAGTTTGAATACGCGGTTTAACTAACAAAAAGCGCCAAAGATCAAGTCAACACAAACATTTACGTTAACTTCAATGTTGTAATTGTGTTCTGGCTGTAGGATATGATTGACGGCAAATACCTTCTTGTGTATGAATAATTGCTCATTAGTAAGAGAACCCATTCATCCAAAGCTAGTCATCTTATCTGGTTGGTGGTCGTGCTCTACGAACAATGATAACACACGTCAATAAGATTGTTGATATTAAACCTTTTGCCTTAGCAACGAAGTTGTAGTCTAGCAATCAATTCATCAAATAAACCTCTTGGAATTACGTGATTTAGGTGAAACCAATACAAAGTCAGTCCAGGGTTTTTATTTCTGTCACGCTTTTGTATGTATCATTATCTTTATCTTTATCAGAAGTGAAGAACCTGCTCGTTATAATGAGGAACACATACATTATGTTTCCTAGGATAAGATGATTTAATTTATTGTTTACATTATGTTTTATAAATTATTATTAAAACACGCTGTTTCACTTTCAGTCATACATTCTCTGTATGAGCTACCCACATTTAAATTAATGACAGAAGTTAACACTCTTATAAAATATACGAATACAGAATACACATGCATAATACGTTATGGAAAGAAAAAATATCTGGACTGTCCATTGCATTGGTCTTATGCCCATGCAGATAGTGTAATGTCAAGTGGTATAGACGTCGTGAGGTTATCGTATTCTCGGTAATGCGTTCGATTTAATAACCAACTTGTATTGATTTCAATTTGCCTAGTATTTAAATTTAATTCCGCTTGTACGGGTACTTTAGGGCGTCAGATATGTTGCATATTTCCATATTTTTCATGAACATGCTCTCTACATTCTAAATATGTTACATTTGTCATCATTGCTCTCGATGGATCCCTTTCATTCATCCAGATTTAAATGATGACCTATTGTTTTCGAATATCAACCTTCATATTTTGTTGAAATATGTTTCAATGATAATGACTTTTTCATATCATTCTTTATGTTATAATCTCATGTGAACAATTAGTTCCATTATACAGAACACGGGAAAGAAACATGCAAAATTCCTTGATATAATATACTTATCATTTATTTACAGACATTACCATTAAAAATATAAGCGTTTATAATCTGGAATAATCGCATAATCATAACATTCATTAACAACGGTAATCAATTCATCATCGGCGCATCATCATTAATTAATGAAGCATGCGGAAAATATCACACTTGCGACTGACTTGATGGAATAAATTAAATGGATTAATACAATATAACAGAGCCGCATAAAGACTCAAACAAAGCTTTTGAAAGTTATGACCTTTTTTGGTTTTTACAGAGTTGTTATATTAAACCTTGTAATTATTTAAACATAAAATGAAAGCATAAATCAAAAAGTAAAATATTCTTTATCTACTTATTTATTGATAATTTTTACGCACTAGTAAATAACACAGTCATTTCCGTTCTCATGGACACAAAACATTTTAGGCAGTTAAAAGCTTTGCTGATCTCCATTTATAAATGATGCACAGAGAAGATTATGTTTCTTTGTTTTCTACATAATTATGTGATAAACAAAAACAAAAGGAATATGCTTTAATTATGTTGAAACATAATAACAAAAACTAAGAGAACAAAGATCAACATGGCAAAGGCAATGTTCAAATTACAAAACTTGTTGGTATAAATTAACAGAAAAAAACGCATGACATAATGACTTGCGTTAACCTACGTACTAGTTATTTTCATTTAATTTTACAAGACACCAATAAGCTTACATCTTTCGTTTGCAAGTATCCGTATGTCAGCCATTGACTTTCCTGATAAAATTAACGGGAAAAGGTCTGGTAATACATTCTGTAGCACGTTAGCTTGAGCAGCAATGATTTCTAAGTCCGTTGCAGGAATCCTATTGATGTGTTCTTTTGGTATATTAACCCCACTATTACGAACGTTACGATATTTCGAACGTAAATCTATATTTCTGCATAAAAGTCGTTCAAAGTTCATCACACTCTGCTCGACTTTATCTCTCCAATTCCCAAACCTGAAAACAAGATCTTGATTTACCATTCTTAATGAAATGCAATGGTACAGTTTTGGAACTCTCAGGAGAATTGACCCACCTTCCTCTAAGCATTCTTCTAGAAACTTGATTGTGTTTTGCCTTTCTTTACCCAACACCATACCTTTTAGCAGATTTCTTTCTGGTATCATATAGTTTGGTAAATGGTTGTTTTGAATACAGTGTTTTATAAAATTCAATGCATATTTGATCAAATATACAATGCAGTCCGGTGTCATCTGGCTAGAATCTGTCATTTCCATTACCCAGAAAATAACGTTCTTTACAATATATGAGGTTAGAAATTTGCATTTCGGCTTCAAAATTGTCTTTGCTAATATCTTCAGTAATACATAGGTCTTCATTTGTGCGTCAGACAAATTTAACACTAACTTCTTCTCGGATGTAGTATAGCAAATTCTCCATTCAATCATTTGAGCATCGCTTTGTTTGTCACCGATCGGCACAATGTAGCCTTCTGCGTTAGAAATTTCATTTATTACATCCTTTGAGGGCCATGGATGATTCCTATCCCTATTTGTCCACTTTTGTAAATGATTACCTCCGAAGAAGTAGATAGAAAATACATTATCAGATTCACCTGCACTTCCAGGTAATAAAGTTAAAGCTGGTCCACTCAATTTCCAACTGGCATCGTGTACCTTGTGTAAAACATCATATAAATCTTTCATCTTTTCGCTAGCCATAATAGGTGTATTCATATGGGTTTCGTATGCGCTCATACGACGGAGTGTTTCTGAAAATTGCAGATTATTTGGTATTGAAATTGGTACTACTTTTGTGTAGCCTGGCGTTGTATGAGAATAATCAGCTTTAAGAATGACAATATTCTCAGAAGCAGTTCCTTCATCGACACACAAGGCATCCGGGAATATTTGCATGACGTCCGTATCACTTTCGGAGAGTCCGACGCCTTCACCTGCACTTCCAACAATTAAAGTCGTAAAGGGAATTTCAGGTCTATTTTGTATTATTTTCGCTATTTCATCCATAAATTCTGAACGCCTCATAACTTGTTTCTTGCTGAAACCAAAACAGTTTAATGTAGAACTGATTAACAGAGATAATTCCTTATCCCCGCCGCCGGCCATAATAAAAATGTGTCTTTGCTAAAGTTGCGTCGTACTGAAAAATAACAACAGTAAAAAGGTGTTGGAATTTATCCTTTTTTAACAAAGTTTACCGGTGCTTTTAATTAGCAATAACTATTGTAATAAGCTAAATGTTTGCTCTTCTTTAATTTTAATGTAATTTATTCCTTAAATATCACTATTTACTGACATAAGCCTATTTTTTACAAAGAATCCACGCCTCACTAGATTAAATGTTTCCTGTGTTAACGTTAAAAGTTCTTTATCCGTAGAAAAAAAAACAAATTTACACAATTGTATAAATAACATAAACTTTTCATACACTATAAGCAATTTACCTCTGATTTATGTTGAGCCCTCAACAAAACTAGCAAGACTCACTTGCGACGCTATAAAATGCTTCAGTGTTTCCTCAATTGAAACAATTAAAATAGGGAACTCTTTCACTCTTAAAAAAGTAAAAAAACATGTGTGTAATTTATATAAAATACCGTTAGTTTTGTAATATTGCTTCCTTCCAAAAATACATATTAATTAAACGTACCGCTTATCTTGTCCAAAACAAAATTAACACTTAACCAACAGAATGTCTGTAATGACTTACCTTGTTTGGAATTTGAAAAGTTCATTCAAAGAATATAGTATAAAGAACGAAGCATGCAGGTTTCCATTTTCTTTCTTTTTCAAAAAAACAAATTGTATACTTTCTTACATACCGGTGGCATAAGAATGATTTTTTTTTTCATATTCAAGTGAACTTGTATTCAAATATTAAGCACTTTTTCATTATTTATATCTATATGTTTCTTTTATGATTGTTACTTGTTTCTATAAAATAATAAATCATCATTAAATTTATCATATTCTTAGTATTTTATTTATGGCGCATTATTAGATATCTTGTGTATGCACATTCAATATTATCCAAACGTGTAAAAAAATAATCATAAGAGGTTTCAATTTTATAGTTAATAGTTCTTAATTGATAGTCGAAATCAATGAATATAATCTTATTCATGACTTATTTAAGGTATAAATGTTAAAGTTTGATCAATATATAGAATGAATAGGGGTTTTATAAAAGTTGTTTATTTATTTATTTATTAGATGCAGACAAATGTTTAACAACCTGATCCTGCGTGTAATTTACATGTATTTTTCTACTTATGTTAGCTTATTTGGAAATTCATATTTTAATATACGCCCCGATAATCTAGATGTGTTAATGAAGGCATCGTTTACTTAGTATCAATTTCAGCTGTACTCTTTTACACATCATAAGAATTTTTTAGAATGTTTCTGCTTTGTTTACTTGACAAAGAATTAATGTAATGTTTTTATACGCCGGTATAACCTAAAGGCACTATAAATATGGGCCATGTCATAACAAAACCAACATAATGCATTTGTGACCAGCATGGATCCAGACCAGCCTGCGCGTCCGCGCAGTCTGATCAGGATCCATGCTGTTCGCTTACAAACACTATTACAAATAGAAAAACTGATAGCGAGCAGCATGGATCCTGATCAGACTGCGCGGACGCGCAGGCTGGTCTGGATCCATGCTGGTCGCAAACGCATTACTTTGGTTTTGTCGTGACGCGGCTCATATAAGTCTTGCGAGGCTTTGAATCGGAGAGAGATAGGAGGGAGGTTAAATGGTGGTGTTTATTCCCATTGACAGTTTTATTATCAACTTCGGTCTAAATAATTGTGGCTGCTGATTGCGTCGTTCAGAATTCGTTAAAAACAAAATACATATTAATCATAAAGGTATTCCATTTTGTTAGATTTGAAGACATTTGAAGAGTCAAGTTATAATGAGTTAAGCGTAGACTATAACAATAATAAATCTAGTATACATAAACGTTTTACAACAATCGCTATTAAGATAGATGATGTTTTTATTGCAAATTTAAATCTTGAGTTCTCTCCTTTTAAGATATAAATCCGGTATGTCCATATAATTTTCCTCTTTCATATTTTATGAAAGTACAACTTTATGTAAATGCAATATCAGTTGCAGCACAATCAAGTAATTACTATAGCCAATCGTACAGACAGGTAATTATTGTTTAAAGAAACTTCTTCACATTTTCCTTCTCTTGTGCTTTTTAACGTTCTTAGAATGCTACTATTTTTACAGTACTTGATGAATGCTCTTTAAATTATCGAAACTTAAAAATGTTCAGTAATATTTATAAAGATCTTAATTGCTTTAAGTAGTATCTTTGGTTAGTATAATTTTAATATTTTCCTTAATTAATGTAAAAGTTAAGAGAAATTTGAGGTTTATGTCTAAAAATATAAATAACCTTTCGTTTTGAAATTTCTTTTAACACATATGTTTGGTGTAATAATACTAATATTATTTGGTGTAAAGACAACCAAGAAAACTCATTTTATCCCAGCTTGTAGTGTAATGGTAGCTATGCAAGTTGTGTAATAATTAATACTCCGAATTGTTTCTCAGTGTTTACAGTGATAAGTAGCCAAAAGAGCGTGTAATTCATACAGCGTATTAATTGTATCTGTCGGGCTAGTATCTTCATCTCTCGCAAAAAAGATAATGGCTGATATTCTAATATTCCCGTCTCTTTATTTAAGAGGAGGAAAACACTACTCAATAATTTAACTTTACACTTGAAGGTTTTGAAGCAAATGTACTTTATATTGTCATGCTTAATACTTTGTATAAAATGAAACTAATGAACTATATGTGATATTCACTTCACAATTTATCAACATCAAAGATACAGTTTATAGAATTGATAACCCTCCACTTCTTCTCTTATTTTTTGCTTCGAAATTTTTGTCAGCATCACTGAAATGATATCTGAGATATCAATTTCAAAATTCCAAAACAGATATATATTACTACAAAGCAGTGCATAACTTATTATAAGTTAAATAACTGCTCAATATTTTGAAGTACGGCTATTTAATTTTCTTGAATAGTTTTGTCAAGACTATAGCCCATAAAGTTTTAGACAAATTACGAATGATTGGTTGTTCACCGATCTTTATGGATGCTTGCACACTATGTATTACATTTATTGCTCGTCGGATAGCAAAATGCCTAGTTTTGCATGTAGAAGAAAGTTATCAGACTAAATATAACAAAACTTGAGTCTCAATTGGCGCTAGGGGTGCATTCCTTGATACTAGCTCTTCGTGTTATAATACCAGTTATAAAGATGTTTTGACAAGTTATATGGCTATATATTATGGTGGCTGATTTGGTACTCTTTTCTGTGTCTAGTTTGCGCTAGCGACAACACGACAAAGCGCCAAACAGCGTGTTGTCAGACTTCGTCTTGTCGCCCTGTCTCTAACGTTGCACGCCAAATGGCGCGTTGTAATGCGGTGCGTTGTGGCGATGTCACACTGTCGCTTGGCTAATAAGCCAAACCTTCTATTTGAACCGAGCGACAATGTGATATCGCGACAACAAGCCGCACGACAACGCGCCGTTTGGCGTGCCGCGCTTGAAACAGGACGACAGCGCGACAACGCGCCGTTTGGCGCTTTGTCGTATTGTTGCTAGCGCCAACGCGACGCACAAAAGTATACCAAAATAACCAAAATAACCACCATAATATATAAACAGTTGTGTGCATATTTAACCCGATCCGCTTGGTTTATATAGGGCTAGTCAGGAATTTGTATATCAGAATTATAATACAGCAAACTTCCTTTTTAGGGGAAAGTGCGATTTATTCGTAAATTTACAGCAGTCACGGATATAAGATAATATAAAAGTCACGATTGTTAAATCAAAGGCCACGTTACAAATTCCATAATAGGCCACATTACCAGTAACTTAGGAATATGAAAACAACGCATGTATTATGTAATAGACACACATTATTGTGGAATTTTACTAAATAAACCAATGTATTTTGAAGTTAATCAAAGCAACAAAATAACGCATACTGTTGCTGAAATATTATAATCATTCTAAACCTCAAGATATTTACATTTACAAGAAAGTGTTTGGTTTTTAAGATCATACATGAGAATAAGGACGTAGTCAATGTATTGACGGCGACTTGTGTTTCGTCGGTATGCTATTTGTGTTGACATTTTTTTGTCCATGGACCCGAATTTTATCAATTAATCCCTTCGAGTAACAGCTAAAAATAAATTCGGATGCAATAATTCCTTTCGATTTCTATTTATGTAAAGTCATATATTGGTTTCCCATTCGGTGATTCGCAGTATGATATACTAATGGAAGAGAACGGGAACAAATTTCATATACAAAAGCAGTATAAAAGACAAAATAAAAAAAAAAAACTTTAAATTTGGTACTTATTTCTTACATTTGTATCTTCTATAGGAAATTACTAAATATTTTTTAGTACACAGTGTGTTATGTATTTATCTATTTCTGTACATGAAAGCTATAAATAGATATGACCTTCACATTGTGAAAGGCCGAACATCTATGTAAGGTCATTTTTGTCGCGCTATGGTAATAAATAACGAACTGGAGAAATGTGCAGGAAATGAAATGCAAACATATTTCTACCATAAATTGAACTCTTCATAAAGTTTTTATATCTTTGACTTGCATGAAAATGATGTAATTGTAGTTTTCTCTTATCTTATTATAATATCAACATGCCATGCAAATTCATTCATGTTTTTTAATGTTCTAAACGCGTATAACAAAACAAAATCTTGAATTTGGTCTTTTTGAATTTAATCACAATTTTTTTCATTCCAATCTGTGTACTGTTCCAGTATTTATCTTGGACTTTTGGACTATTTCTATTGTATCTTAACTCTATTAAAAGAAACCATATTACTTAATTTGACATGAAAAAAATGCATGTACTATTACTATATAAGTCCCTTTTATTGCTATTTTTATACTCTGTATATTTGTTATAATCATACTAATAACAAAACAGACTTTGTTCATTTTGACGACTGTTTTGTATGTTCCAACGAAAATACATTTAATATTGTTATCTCTAGCAAGCCTACCAAAGTTCATGTTGAACAATGTCTTTCGTCTGCCCATTCAGCTATGATATACATGTACAATTCTGGTAAAATCCAATTAACCATTAAAAAGTTTATAAGAATATATTGTCATCAGATGCTTACTAGGTCATCGTCACTTTATGCATTTCTTGCTTGGATGCCCTTTGATAATGTACACTAGTACTTAATCTAAAAATAAAATGCCGTGTGCGCAGGAATGATTTGGTAAGGTATCTGTAATGTGCGCATTATTTTACGCGGAGCTTCTCAATTGCTGCATTGAGGCAACATTTGTACTTGTTTTTTTTATATTTGGTATAATTCCGTATAAAACATTCGGTAAACTACTCATGTCATCTAACATATAATTTATCAGATAAAATGAGACTGAAAAAAATACGAGTCAACGCGAATAAGTATAAAGTCATAGTAGCCGTATGAGCTTATTTATTTCTTTTAATTTAAATTTCTACAAAATAATTAAGTCCGTTCATTACCGTTTCGGACAAAGTTTCGGAAAAAGTATGCGTTACTTTTTCACGATTCGTGTGTTATAGTTATTTACACATTCTTGCATCACTGGAACATGTCAAAAGTCTCCATAACACAATGATCTTCCAAAAATTAATAACAGTTAATATTTCACTGTCTTATAAAAACATTTTGAACCAAAATTAGTTTTCAAAGATACAGAATGGTATATTGGTAGTAACTTGTATATGTACATAGATATTTATAGCAACAATATTTTTAAAAAAATTTAATTTGAAATATTAAAAATGTTGTTATTGGAAAATTTACGACAGTGACACACGCGAATACTCCCTTTAAATTTTCATTTCAGATGGAATATATTACTTTACGTGTTTTGAATATGTTGTCGATATTCACACTGTCTATACATAATTGTTTAAATGTTTTAAGCGATACTTTTATTATTATCAATTGATAGCAAGTGTCAAAACGTCATGTTATTATGGATTCCGCACTGTATATATGTTGCAGGATGGGGCAAAGGTATTTAGTTTTTTAAGAACAGTTTATGGTCTGCACATTTGAAATTCAGTTGTTTCTAGATTATTTCATTTCATTTGTTTGATATCCCCTTCACATTTTGAATATTCATTCAGTTTCATATATCTCTACTTTATCTTTTCCATTGTTCGGAACATACAAACGTCCTATTTTGATATCAAAACACAAAGCTTGGGGACCTGACAAATTGGTAATAACAACCTTTTCAAATTCACCTCTATCATTCAAAAGTATAACATTTTTAGACGAATATCCGCATGCAAACAGTTTGCCGTGTCCAGCATCTGCTAAGCCATGTGGCCAAACTATCTCTTCTGTAACTCTATTTAGAATCTCCCCATCTTTATCAAAACAGATGACACCTTTACTGTTGCTGGTGTTATCACAAGCAAGTATATTTTTGCTTTTATCACTTACGATTATATCGTGAAGCCTTGAAATTTTTATATCCTTTGTACACTGTTCTGCAATTGAGTTTAACAGTTTGCCAGTAAAATCGACTAAGCGTACACATGTTCCGCCAGAAATATACAAAAGGTTATCTTGATAGAATATTCCTGTGCAAATAAAATTCACTCCAATATCAAATTTTGGAGAAAATTTATCATTCACAATAAAAACTGAAACTTTGTTCTCATGTGGTAAACATACTGCGATCTCTTTTCTATCTATGGAGCAAACGTCGGTGGATGTAGACTGAAATATATGTTGATCAACAACTTTTAGCGACTCTTATCGTCAACCATTTTAATGTTATTGTTTTTATTATCTGCCAAAATGATTGAACCGTTTGATAGAATGCAAGATCCGTGTATATCAATGCTAAATTTGTCTGATGGCAAGCGTATGTCAAAGCTACCTTTGTGCACAAAGCTATATGGCTGTATTCGAACATTTCCTAATATAATCAGGTTCCCAATTAGTATTTTGTAATTGGGATCTAGTGTGAATTGAACTCTTTGGCCTAGTTCAATATGTGAAAATTCTTCACACGCCTGTTTGCTTGCAGCAATTTTACCTTTGTTTAGTTTAAAAGACACAAATGCTTGTGACTTGTTTTGCGTTGTTGCTCCAATGCATTCTTTAATAACTTCGAAATCGTCAAACTTTTCCTTAATTGCCACAGTATTCTCTTTCACCGATGATTTGAGTTTCTGATACCGTTTTTCAACTTGAGAGCTAGCGTCTTCAGCAGCTTGTTTGATTTTATTTTCAATCTCTTTTGCATATGAATTAATCTTGTCTATTTCCGTTTGTTTATTTGTCTCTAGATCTGAATCTTCTTTCTTGAATCTGTCGAGGAGCTCGTAAAATTGCTTTTCTAAAGCAGCAATACTTTCCTGACATTCTTTATCTGGACTCGTCCTAATCATTTCTGGAATGTAGAGCACATCTTTGCAGGTCCTGAAAGGATATCATTACACTTGTCACAACTCGTTTCATTTTATTGCAATAATATCATAACGCTTCACGGTACAATATCGTTTATAATAAAATGATCAACATGTTCTTCTTATTTGCTTTATATATTTTTCAGTTATACGTCTATCATCATGAACTTGTAACTGTAAACGTTTGCGTTTGTCATACAAAACCAAGACATGATGAGTTTCAGAGTTACTCTTTTAATAAACGTGTATACATGTTTTGTTTCAATATACACATTCAATCATCAAGCTTAAAGCTACAAGTAGATTCCAAAGCTGTTTTCATTTTTAATATGTTTTTTTTTTGCGCTGAACACATATTAAATGGAAATAAAAATAGATCCCGAATGAATTTTGGAATAAATTGTAATTTCCAGAATATCAAAGAAACATAAGGAATATACGAGTCATTAACACAAACGTTTGCGGAGAGCAGACGGAGTTTTAGCTAAAGAGACTTCAGCGAACAGGTTTTATAGTACTGCTAGACCTGTTCGCTGAAGCCAATCCCGTATCGAAAGTCAACCAGAACCGTGACATATTTATGTCAGGCTATAATTCAATAAATTTGTGTGATCTGGACAAAAGCTATTTTAACACAGGTAGTTGGATATATTTGGAGCACTTCAGTCTATATTTTTGAACACAGAACGTTAGATTGATTAAATAATGCCTCAAAGTTTATCAGTGGGTTCACATTTCATAAAATTCGCCACCATTGCTGCCCTTAATATCACGTGACTAGCGAGAATTTAGGTTCGGATACCTTTGCATGGCATTTGGTGACACGTGACAAAAATGCTCTTTTTAATTTGCAATTATGAATAAAAATGTATTTATTCAATAACAGACATTGTACCAAAAACATGTTGGATTTATATTGTTTTGAGTGGTGATTCATGAATTATTTGTTTGTTTTTATTTGAATCGTACACTTACTAAAAATAGTGTATGGTCCGTCACTAAAATGGATGCTAGAATTCCCAAAACTTGAAGTCCCGCGAGATTTTATATGAAAGCGTGGACGGTAACTTGCACTTTCCAGTACCGTCCATGAACAGGCTCAATCAAACCGAGCCTGCAACATTTTCGATATTGCCGTGTTGGGCTTTCTTTAGGGATTCTGTATTTATCTATTCCATATTGATAAACATTCTCTACATATTTCCCTAACAAATGTATAGTTGGGTACAAAGTGTCATTGAAGTTTCATTTAAAAACAGAACATGAATTGATTCAAATGTAATTTGTTTATTAAATGGTATTTTTAATTAACCCAATATGATTAATAAGTTTAATTTTAATAGGATTTATGTAGGGCACAACAATTCAGCAAATAGGGTTGACTCATAACTTTACTGTCGCAACGTCAAAATAAAAGCCACAAATAAAGTTATGGAAGCCAGAACTAACGGAGTTTAAACAAATTGCTATAGGTTAACAAGCATATCGACCATTTTTTTATTTCATACATTATCTCTTTTTCACATCGAATGCGATCAGTTTCTTAATTAAAACTTAAATAGAAAACGTCTATAAAATGTGTTATAACAAATATTGATTATACCTCAGCGTTCTTATTTTATGTTTAAGTGCTTTGATTAATAATAGCCAGTAAAATGGTTTGAATTTTTTGCATGTTTACTATGGCAATGTATACGTTTGGTCTAAACTCCTTATGAAGGAGGAAGTATTTTTAGATAATATAATTTTTTGTATGTTATTGAGAAAGCAGAATGAAGTAGCGTTTATTAATAAGCACTTTAAGTTATGTTCTTTCCTTTTTAACTATTTACTTCAATTACCTGTGATCCGTGGCCATACAAGTTGCACACCCGACCTCATCATGATTCTTGCAAAACATGTCAACGGCTTTGTAATTATGTTTTTCACACTTTTTAGTTGGTATCATTTTAAGCTGACATATTTTGTCATCATCTGTATCAAGGAGTTTGTGGCTCTTCAAAGCAGGAAGTGTTTCGTGCAGTTTCAAACATTCGGAACAGTAGCAGTCCTGACAATCAACGCAATAGTTGTCAGCTGCTGTATTTTTATCTTGTTCTTTACACGCCGAGCATGTTATATAATTTCCCTCATCATATGCTAGCTCTGGTGCACTGTTTGATGCCATTTTAAGCACTTAAATCATATTTATTGTAAACTTCATTCATTTTTATCCAGTAGCGGTATGAAAGAAAAGATAAAGCACTTTTGAATGTTAATAATATCGAGTTTATACAATCATCGCCTACAAACTAATGGCAAGACTTGTCAATGTCGTTATACCTTTCCGGTATTTGTCATTGACTCTATTATACGTTACTTGAGTGTTGTATCGATGGAGATATTTGAAATAAAAATCAGGTCGTCAATAATAGGCTAGGTCCTTAAAACATAATAGCCTTGACAAGTCTAAATCAATATCTTTTTTTTTATATCAATGTCTTTTTTGTCGTTTTTTTATAAATAAGTTAAATTGTAAAATATGCATAATTATATGTTATACTTTATCATTTAATTGTTTTACCGGGACATTGAAAAAGAGATAAGTGTAACATGTACGTAAGACATTAAAGCAGCCTGCCTCAAGCTTTTTTTTATATAAAAATTAATTTTGTATCAATAGATAATAGAATATTCCGTGAGTGATTTATTTAGGTATACTATTAGATCGATCAAAAGAGAAGAATGAAAGTTATATAATACTAGGCTTTGTAGAGTTTTTTATCAATTTATTCAATAATTAAATTAATCTAAAATCATAACAAGACAAGAACATTTTACTTTTGTATCACATTAATCGTATAAGCCATAACAGTGCCATTATTCATGAGTAGTCTTTATAGCTTGTTTTTGTACCACATAATTGTTGCGTACACATATGTACGGCATAAGCTATATTGATATCATTATCATAATCCGAGACAAAATATCTATAGACATCTGGAGTTTAATTATATAGAGCTAATTTTAACCAATAAGATATAATTTTAAACAATAACGTTTTTCTTGAGATTTATTTTTTAAACTAGTAATCTAATAATCCTAGAGATTTGAGTATAGATTATGAGTATGAAACTGCGTCATCATTTCGTTCAACATATGTAGACTTATTTACGTTTTAAACTCACATTATAAAGTATCTATACAGAAAAAAAACATGCTGGGACTTTTAATCACTTTTAAAAACTTCATTGTAGCGTTAATAAGTAAATATGGTAAATTTAATATTTTGTCATATATTTGCCTGAGTATCCCTTTAATAGGTAGGTAAGCAAGTGGCTAATAGGCAGGTGATAGGTATGGTGGCAAGCAGAAGACATGTTCTCAAATCTATGCAATAAAATACTCAGTAAAAACAGACGGGATGGGTGAAGGTTTTTGGTTTGATTCCTGGTTTTACGCCGATTTTAGCACAAGGTTTTTTGTCATATCTCTTTAGTCGATCCACCAAATTTGCTTTCATGTATAAATTAGTAACCAAACTTAAATTGCACATGAATTCTGATATAGCTATGAAAAAACTAGCAAGAGAATATATTTAAAAGAATGAAAAAAAAGTAGAAAAAAGAAATAAAATGTCAATATAGCCCAAATAATGAAGCTGCTGAATGTGAGATTTCAAAAACAACGAATAAGAAACAAAAGCAACAACATGAAAGCCATTATTTGTTTATACATATTTATTTCCAGAAACGTTATATACCAATACTATTAGCATTTATTTAGTGTTCATTGTCATTAAAAATGATAAGAACGTAAGACAGGCGCTTTGCACCTTTGAAGTCGCAATATATATCCTTTCATTTTTTTTTTTTTTTTTGGCGATTGTTACAATCGTATTAATCTAAAAAAACAAGCATATTTTAAGCTAATACAGAATTATTATATCATTAACAGCAGCATGAGAGCAGTAAACAGACAAATAAACTAAATTTAGCACAATAGCTATGATCATATTTTAATGTCAAGGGTTCACAGTTACATTTCAGCCAACAGATAAATAAAAGAATGTTCAAAAATGCAGATTTCATTATGTATTGCTATAGTTTTATATAACTTATTTTTATTCATGAGTTTATGTCATTTATTCTTTTTTTATCCTTTGTGGCACATTGCACGAATCTTTTGAGCAGGACGTGTCAGAAATTACCGTATTGTTCGCTTGCGTCTATTTCCTTTGATCACAGACAAAGAAAAATGTAATTAAATTTAACACGCGATAGAAGATTTTGTGTGCGGAATATAAATTTGTATCCTACAACCAATGCCTCGGTAATATTAGCCTACATTATTATGCGCTTTTATTGTTTGACTGAGTCACTATCAAATTCTTTGGATTTTTGCGAATCAAGAAACATACTTTTTGATGATATAATTATCAGTATCTGGTTTAAATATATATTATTTAATTTGACGCGTCTGTGTGTTTTCTCCGTATCTTACCCATTATGCGTAGTCATCTTAGAAATAATACGGAATGAATACTGTTCGCTAAAGATAGACAGGGGATGTAATTTTTGTATAATGGATAATAAATGATACTTATATTGACAAAATTGTAATCAACTCAAGGGAAACAACTCCCACTATTCTAATATTGAAATTCCATTAAGAGTTGTGCCCCTTGTCATGAATACTTTATGCAGGAAAAAAATTAAAACGACCGAAGGTCATACAAGGTGTACAACATGAAAGCAATGAAGAGTATTTGTGAGTATTTGAAAAAAAAAGGCACTTGATATAACTTTACGCCATCTTTGACGTTTGACGTGCGCCGCGCTTCATACAGATGCCATTGTAATGATGGCATATTTTTGTTGTTTGATGATTTTTTTATATAAATTTGTGAAATATTTCAATTATGGGTTTATAACAAATAAAAATAAATTCGTAAAAAGTTCTTTAGCTTTTAAACAATCTTGTTAAGGAATATTGCGACAACTCGCGTGTTATTGAGTCAACACAATCTGGTAAATATATTTGTCGAAATACTGATTATTCTTTTTTATATATAGACAAGCAAGATTTTTACATTACAATCATGTTCAGCACTTATACGATGCAACCTAGATTATTCATGTTCTTCCTGTTTCCCAAGTCTAACCCCCCCCCCAAAAAAAAAAAAAAAAAAAAAAAAAAAAAAAAACAACAACAATATAATTATAAACATGCTTCAACTTGTCAAAATAAAATCGTAAGATTTATACATTGCATGGGTGTCAATAACGTGTGAAATGTAGGAAAACAGAAAAAACAGCAATGTCTTAACTATGCATTTTAAGCTGTTAATACGCTTATAAATGCAAAACATACTTATTCAACTTTGGCGAATGAGTTTAATTTCAAAGTTCCATAATGCTAAGAATCAGATAGTATAATATTCTCTAAAAGTTAGGGACCGGACGTATTTGCCTATAGATAATTTAAAAAAAACGCCAATGAGTTGACATTGACCTAAGGCTCTGTAAAAAACTTGCTTACCAGAAATTTTTAGGAACTCGTAATTATTTGCACTAGTTTAACTAGATGTCAGTCTTCGTGTCTTTTCTTATACTCATGAAAATACTATAATCATTATACGAAATCTTGTATTTCATAAATGAAAATTATTAGAAGGGAGACAATCCTGACATGTCATTATGTAGATATTTATATTAGTTATCTCCCTTTACCAGCAAGGCGTCTTGTTTTGAGTTAATTTCCATCATAAAATTTTAGTTTAAAAACTTGTTTTTATTGTTCCCTTTGCTAATAATAGAACATTTATGCATGTTTTATATATTTTGTTAAACTTTATGAGAACTTCCAATTTCCAAAATCGTCATTTGATTTTATTACTTTAATTATATTTATGTATTTATATTTGTATTGTATATTCTAGTAAGTATATGTCCAAGAACCCAATTTGAAACAAGAATTGAAGGGAAGTTTTACATGAATAACTAAATTAAGCTTGTTTCAAAAGATTGATCTGGACTTTCATTGCACAATTTTGATTAAAGCTAGATCTGCACTTGCAAGATACAATAAATTCATTAAAGAAATATATCCTGAGTATGTGTCAACAGAAATACAATCACTATTTTAATCCCACAAAATGTGACAAATATTTTAAAGGCTAATTTCCTTTTTATTTTCTTCGGGGAGTTCACCAATGACAGTTTATATGCATGGGTCTGACTTGGCATCATTATTTTGGGCTTTGACCTCCAAGTGTGACAATGACTTTTGAGATAGGGTCTTGATGTTGCACACCACATGTCGTATTTTCATTATAAACATTTTTAACAAGTTATATCAAAATACATTGATTGATGCAAAAGTCATATACCACACAAAACATATAACCTAGAAAGACCATCTTAAGCTTTGACATCTAAGTGTGACCTATACATTGAAGGTAGGAGTCTGGCTGTTGCGTATGACAATTGGTCCTATTGTTGTAAACATTAGTTCCAAGTAATTTCGAAATCCCTTGAACAATAAAAAATATGGAATTGGCATAAAATGTATCCTGTAAAAGACCATGTTAAATAAACTTTGACCACTAAGTGTGGTATTGACTATGGAGATAAGGGTACGGGTGTTTTGCATTAAACATTGTCTGACTATAATTATAAACATTTGTTCCAAGTTATTTTAAAATCCTACAAAAGTTATGGGTGTTCACCATCAAATACCTTTTCTTTAAAGCTAGGCGACTGGTTGTTGCTCAAGAAAAATCTTCTCGTTATTGTTTCATTTGTGCCAAGTAATTTTAATATCCCTTAATCAATAATGAAGTTATGAACCAGACACAAAATATCCCTGTAACAGACTATGTTAATATTTGACCTTCAACTGCGACCTTGATTTTGAAGAAAGGCGAGTAGTTGTTGCGCATGACAGTATATATTATTTTAAGAATCCCATCATGGATAAGAAAGTTATGCACCAGACACGACACGTGCTGTTTTATTAATTACTTTAAATTAATATATATTAAAAGACGTACATTACACTAGTTAAGGAATAAATCAATTGGATTGAAAAAGGGAAATAACGCCATATCCTTGCCGTGATTATCAGTTTTGTGTAACAACAATTTAAACAGCTTTACTTTCAAAAGAAGTCGTATATCTAAACCATCTGGTATGTGTATACAATATGGTCTTAAACTGATTGTCTTTCAAGATTTAAAGTCATGATATGGTTTGTTCTGAAACTGATCAAATAAAATTTGTAGAACACAAATATTAACAATTGGAGTGTTAGACTAAGATGAAGATTGAAATGTACACTGTCACATCAATTTTAAACAGTGGAACAATATCTAGTCAGCTTCAAATATATCAACAATATCTTCACGAACGTGCGAAACATACAAACGTCCTGATTTGAAATCAAAACACATGGAATTAGGTTTTTTAAGTCCATCCTTGATAACGACCTTTTCAATTTCATACCTATCATTCAAAAGTGTAACGTTTTTCGAATCATTTCCGCAAGCAAACACTTTCCCATTTCCAGCATCTGCTAGGCCACTACACCATGCTTTCTCCTTTGAAATTATATTTATAATCTCCCCATTATCATTAATACAGAAAAGTTTTCTTCCTTCCAATAAACGGCAAGAAGCAAATATGTTTTTGTTTTTACTACAAACGTATATATTATGAAGTTGACTATGACTGCTTAAATGCCTCTTTACGTTTACGGAGACAGTTCTTAACACTTTACCGTTAAAATCAACTAGATGTATATTCTCTGGGTCAGAAATATACAAAATATTATCTAAGCAGAATATCCCAAAGCAGTAAAAATCTAACTTGATGTCAAAATCAGAGCAAAATTTATTATTTAATATATAGATCACTGAGACTTTGTGTTCCTGTGGTAGACAAACTGCAATCTCGTTTTTGCAACTTCTTTCTATAGAACAGACATCAGTTGGTACGGTCTGAAATATAAACTCATCTACAACCAGTTGCTTTCTCACATCAACCAGTTTAATGTTTTTATTGTTATAGTCTGCTAAAACGATTGAACCGTCTGATAGAACACAAGATCCATCTACATGGGTATCGTTTTTGTCTGATGTCAAGCGTATGTTATAACTACCTTTATGTACAAAACTATATGTCTGTATCTTAACATTTCCTAAAATGATTCTGTTCTCAATTAGTTTTTCTTTAAGTTCGGGATCTATTTTAAATCGAAATCTTTGTCCAAGTTTAATATGTGAAGCCTTTTCATACGCTTGTTCACTGGCAACAATTTCATCTGTGTTTAGTTTGAAAGTCACAAATGCTTGTGATTTGTTTTCTTTTGTTGTTTCAATGCATTCTTTAACCGCTAAAAACTTCTCAAACTGATCTCTGATTTTGACATAATTCCATTTCAGTTCTGACCACAGGTTTTCATACTGTTTTTCAACTTGAACGATAGCGTCTTGAGCAGCTTGTTTGATGATATCTTCAATTTGTTTTGCATATGAATTTATCTTGTCGATTTCCGATTGTTTGTTTGTCTTTAGATAAAAATCCTCGTTGTTAAATCTGTCAAGAAGCTCCTTGAAGTTCTTCTCTAGAGAAGAAATACGTTCTTCGCACCCTTTAACTTCGCATGTTTTTATCATTTCAGGAATGTAAAAAACATCTTTGCAGTTTCTGAAGATATGATGGTACATTCATCAGAAATCGTAACATTACAAATATGTTTATGAAACTAAATCAATAGATTCATTGAACTAATAAATAATTATTCATTTTCACACATTTAGGCAAATAAAATTTTGTAGAACAGGTTTTTTTATCAACCATGCGTAAAATACTATTATAGTACTTGTATTCAACTAAATTAATATTGGAATGAATTCTTTACTCTAAATATTTTGTCTCTATCTTGACTGCCCACCACCAAGCAAAACGTATTCAACTGAGCAGATGTGTTGATACAATTATGTGCAATTTAACTTAAATGTTCACATCTACAGTTTAATACACGTTTATGTTGATAAAAGATGTTTTCCGGAAAAAATATAGAGAAAAAAAGGAAACCATTTTTGATATTATTTATATATTTATTAATCTATTTATTCATTTATTTTTTTTGATAAAAAAAATTGTGGATTAATATAATGACGGGTGTGCATGCCCGTCATAATGGTGTTTACGTTTGGTCTAAAAACGCCTTGTGATAGTCATTATCATTTTAATATAATTAGGATGTTAGGTATTGAAGTGTGAAGAAGACGACATTCTTATTCATTTGCACTCTAAATTGAAGCATAAATTTAAAGTCATAGATTTTTTTTTCTGAAATAAATAGGATAAATTGTTTACCTGTGATCCGTTGCCATGCAAGTTGCACAACCGACCTCGTCATGATTTTGGCAAAACATGTCAACAGTCTTAAAATGATGTCTTTCACACTTTTCAGTTGGTATCATTTTAAGCTGACCAATTTTGTCCTCATCTGTATTAAGTAGTTTGTGGCTCTTTAAAGCAGGAAGTGTTTCGTGTAGTTTCAAACATTCGGAACAGTAGTAGTCCTGACAATCAACGCAATATTTGTCAGCTGATGTATTTTTATTTTGTTCTTTACACGCCGAGCATTTTATATCACTCCTTTCATGAGACGACGATACACTATTTGATGCCATTATAAATTCCACATGTTTTGATATATGTTTTAACGTTGTACTTCCAAAAATTATTGAAACTATACAACAGCCACTTCCTTAAATAGCACTACAGCAATTATTTTCCTGTTATTTATTATAACAAATGGCTATACTTTCCCACATTCATTCTTTTGTACTATTTATCCGCGATCTATCTCAATTTTGGTCCAGTCTCTAAGCTGACTGAACTGTTTAAATGTTTTACGAGGATGTAATACAATAGTATCTTTCTTTGTAATCAGTTCTATTAAACTTCCGTTTACAACATTCAAAGCATGTGCTATACCGACATGTATTTTGTATTGTTTGTTAGTATATATTAGGTATTGTGTCGTAGCTTATCCCCTGCTACCTTTGACAAATCGTTATATTATATATGTATATCGTCATATTCCATT